TTTTTAACGACCACGCCCCTTCTACTATCAGGGTATACACCAATTTAACTTAAACTTTTTTGATAAAATTCTTCAAATGTTTTCGTACAAAATCTTTTATTCCAGATTCGCATTAAGAGCAAAAATTTTAGTCTACTTGAAAATTTTCATAATGTTTTTGGTCACGACATTGATTTTATTATGACATTAGAAAACTTTCATTAGGAATTTGACCGTGATTGATAGCTAAGGGGGTAAAGTTTCACCTGGAACGATTATTGTTGTGAAACCCCTTACAAGTTCATACTTCAATTCTCTGTAAAAATTAGAGCACAAGCAGAAACAATATGAAAGATTGTATCCGGAAGTGACTTGCGAGCTTTATGCACTTCAATGCACGATTATGATGCCCTGGAAGCAGGCCTGGCTTCAGGAAATTTTTTTGGAAGGGTGCAAGTGTTTATCTACCGAATACATTTTGTCATTATTACACTCCGTTAATGCGACTGGGTATTGTGCTTAGCAGTTTCAGAGATAGGGCCACAAAACTGAGCCTGGGGGGTTAAGAATCAAGTTCAGTGACATAGTAGGACCCGCCATGGTTGGGTCCGACGCGAAAGAAATTTTTTGAAATTAAGCCTTCTAGGATGGCTAGAAATGCATCTCCCAGACTAAAATTGTCTCTGGTTTTGTCAAATATCTTGGGATTAATCTTCTTCTGTGATGTTCCTGAAAATTCTCTTCTGGATCAACGGAAAAATTGAACTCCAGAACTTTTTAATATCTTTGAATGTTTTTAAAAATTACATGAAGTACAATTTTCTACAAAAAAGTTTATCTACCCGTCAAAATTCTAATTTTACTGACTAAAATCCCGAATTTTACAGACTAAAACACAAATGCCTATTCTTGTGTTACACCCCCCCCCACACACCCCCATGGAACCGGCCCTGTCTGGAAGCCCCATTCTACAGATTGTGAGAGGCTAGTATTTGCATACAGTCTCATGAAAACAAGTTCAAGAACTGCATGTTAAGCCTGAACTTTGCCAAACTTTACGCACACTTTTCATCCTAGATAAGATGCCTTTTTTAAAAATTGATCAGGAACCTTGAAGTGCTCTAATCAGCAACAAATAAAAATATGATATCAAGCAAAGTGAGCTTTCTTGTGAAAAGCAAAGCTTTGCATTAAAATTTACTATGTCACAACCTTGATGAGCTCAAAGAGAGATTCTCTTTGAGAGTGCTTACAGCAGGAGTTCATGAAGTGCAGAAGCAAGAGGAATCTTAAAGAAGAAAAAAAGCAAAAGTGAACGGCTTGATCATGGTTGGTTGATATGTTTGAACCATGGTTTGATCATGGTCAAGAGATATGGTTGAATCATGGTTTGATCATGGCCAAGAAACATGGTTGAATCATGGTTCGATCATGGTCAAGTGACATGTTTGAACCATGTTTCAACCATGTTTCAACCATGTTTCAAACTAAGTTTACAAGCATTATGCAATTCCTGTAAAAATTCAAATTTGTATTTTCAAAAATTCAAATGTTTATATGGTTGAACCCCGATTTGACCTAAATTGGTAAAATTATTAGATGACATGGTCTAACCATGGAAAAACATGGTTGAAACACATTTGTTGAGCATGGTTAAGCCATGGTTCAACCATGAACAGGTAACCATGTATTGGCTATGGTCTGACCATGGTTTAAACTGAAATCATAAAAAGAACTGAAAATTTCAAAATTGTTTAAAATAATCCTGAACATTTCAGCTTTCAATATTGCTCAAGCAAATTTATGAAAAAGTAAAAATTTTGAAATTTTAGACATGGTTCAGCAATGGTTGAGCAATGGGTCCCATTGGAAATTCGTGGTTCTACCATGGTTAACCATGGTCATTTCGTTGCTCAACCATGGTGGGAAATGGTTGAAAACCATGGTGTAACCATGGTGTCACCATTGTCAGCCATGGTTGAGCAATGGTTTTTTCGCAGGGGTAACAGACCTCTGGTCTCTAAAGGGCTTAGTCAGCTCGAAACATTTGATGCATATGTTAATGTTTTGACCTAAGACTAAAGATGTAGGTGCTACAAGTTACTGTTTTGATAATAATATTATTAGATATAGAATATAAGAATTAACTGTTTCCATTTTTCCCAAATCCATAACTTTTAACAGATTCCACCCAAATCCCTCTCTTAATGGCCCTTTTCTGTAAACTGTCACAAAGATTACTTGTTGATTCCCTTATCTTTCAATGAGAATTGTAACATTCTTTGAAAATGGGACAAATAAAACATACCTTTGTTAATTGTATTTCATTTTCAATAGAGATGGCTTACAGAACAAAGACCACAATGTCCCCACTGCAGGCAAGTTTCAATTAAATTTTTAAACTAATACTTACCTTGGAGTAATGCAGATATGTATTTTACAGTTAAATTGTTTCTTAATTACTTTTACTTGAGGTTTTCATAATTTCATGTGATATTGTCAATTTATATTTTTTTAATTTACAGGGCATGTCTTCATTTGCATGAACTGGTTCACTGCAGATGGGTAGAAGATGTCACACAGGTTTATATATTAGATTCATTCTCCTAATATTGTATCACCTTGATACTCACTTGATATTCAATGTGATATTACAGTCTCTTTTGTGTTAATGACTCTAATTGTTCAACACCTTTTACAGGTAGGTTTTGTAAGTGAAGAAAACCTCTTTCCTATGTGTTTGATGAACTGAATCATGCAGTATAGAAATTAAGAATTAAAAAGATAAGCAACCTGTTTCATGCTAATATCTGCTATTTAGATATTACATTTTGAGCTCACCATTTATTTACCTATACACTAATTTGCATACAATTCATTGATGAAGAGAGAAAAGTAGTTAAAGGGTCACAAACACAAAGAAAAGTTTTCAGAAATTTGATTCTTGTAGATTTTGATAAAACTGACACTGAAGGGTGACACAGGAAGGCTCTGTTTACATGGGAGTTATTGTGTATTGTTCAATTTTAAGTCCAGTTTATTTAACAGTAAAGTTGGCTGTTTGCCTAGGAAAGGAACTGTTTTGAGTTTCTGTTTATATGGGAAGGCAATAACTCAATTCCTCTTTTTCACAAAATTAAACATCATGTTTAACAATGCAGATGTCGGTAGTGCCCTAGCCCAATAACTTTATCACATGACCAGGAAATTGCTTCCTTTTACTCGCAATCCATTGATTTTCCATTTACACTCTTTTTTGTAAAAACAATTTTATAAGAACATAATTCTCAAAATTGGTCAAAAGTTAAAAACAAATTAAGATCAAGCTGAGGCTGAACTACTGTAAAATGCAATTTTGAACAATGTTTTATCTCAAAACCAGCATTTTTAGCCATGTGTGGGTGCTTTTTCTGTTAATATTCAAACATAGGAACAAATGAAGGTTCTCTCACACACTTTGGTGGCAAATGAGCCCTGAACACCTCCCCAGAGCGTAAAGCTAGCATTTGCACTGCTTATATCTTTTGAATTTAAGAACAAATTAAGAACAATCCAGCCTCAGATTTTGGAAAAAATTATGAACAATCAACTTGAACTCAAATTTAATGGTGTAGTCATGAGTTTATAAAAAAAGAGTGTAGTCAAGCTTTTTAAAAATTACATTTGCTCGTAAGCCAATGCAAAAAGTACTTGTTACCTCTGGGTACACTACAGATTTTCATATGGACAATAGTTAAATATGCAAGCATTCAGCCAAGTCAACGAGAAAGAACTAATCACTCTATTCTATGGACCTCATGTTGCTTACTATTCCACTTTTTATATCAATTATAAAAATATTCCAGCTTTTTAGCAATATCGCTTGAACCATTCCTATGTAAACACAGCCACTAGGTGTTCTAATTTATGGAATTATTTAGAATGATAAGGGATAAATCCTGTGTAAACAAAGTTTAAACTTTACTACTCTGGTAGCAGGTGCACAACTTTCCACCCACCTCCCTTTCAAGAAAAGTCATGCAATGAAATGATAATAAAAATGTAAATATATTCAAAGTTTGCATAACTCTCCTATATCGTTTCCCTTTACATTCTTGCTTTCAAAGGGCTCTAAAAAAACCATTGTTTTCAAAAATATTTACATAGTCATGGGGCAAATGTACATCCCTAGAAACTGCTGTTTTAAAATTTCTCATTTAGAGTTATATATCTTATTAGCATTATTATGTTTCAGCAACTTGACAATTTGCAAGGAAGTTCAGCTGCAGCAAGCTCAGTTAGTCCAGTTAAAGTCAAACCAGAGGATAATAAAGATGGGTCTGTATTTAGTATTTCTGTTGAAACTAGAGCTTGTTTAATCATAGGAGTTGCTTCCTTGAAATTCAATTAAAGACCAGCTTTTGCTACTTTTAAATTACCCTTTTTATGCTGTTGATCATTATATATATACCATCCTTGTTGATGATGAAATGTACTTTTTTCTACACTCATACTTCGCAATTAATTTATGTAAACGCTTATGGTGTTTTTCAAAAGTTAGTATCCTTCACAATGCACATTAAATCACATTATACCAATCCCTAAAAGAGTGGCAAGGTATCACTCAGTTGAAGTTAGCAAGTATTGTCAAATGCAATCATGCTGGAGCTGGATAGATAGAATGGTGATCCTATATTTGTAAAAGAATCTAATTATGCTTATTTATTTTGTAGGAAATGCGAATGTCATAATGAGAAACTCAGTGTGTATTGTGATACCTGTATGAAGTGCATTTGCCACATGTGTGCCTTATGGGGAGGAACTGTAAGTTTTCCACTCAAATTATATGTACAATGAAAGTAAGCTAATTAACCTTATCATTTAGCTCATGATCAAGTAATTACTTTAAATGGCTTGTATTTAAACCCAAAATTATATGAAAATTCACTTGACTGCTAGTAATTGCATGTCTAAAATTTCTGTATTATTGTAATTTGTCATTCTGAATTTGTATCATTGCACTGGTATAAAAAATTGTTTATCATTTCATTTTGCAGCATTCTAAACATGATTTCAAGCCATTGGATGAAGTATATGAGCAGCATGTTTCTTCAATTACAGATGAGGTATCACAATGAATGCTTATGATCATATTGTATTCAGCATATGAACCTGCTTTGTAAACGGTGTAGTTCGTATCAAAATGTCAAGGAAATATCAGTTGTATCTTGGTTGAGAATATCCTTTACCATAATCCTCTCACCAAGTATTTTCTGGTGCAATATTTCAACTGTAAATTAATCAGCCATCTTTTTATTTCTTGAAACTACATCAAGCCAATAGGCCACAAGCCTTCCAATCAAGGATACCTATGTAGAGTAAGGACAAGAGAGTGAACAAATTTTGCAAGGCTAGGAGAAAGAAATCACATTTTATTATCAATGCTTATCAATATTTAAATTAAAATGAAACAATAAAAACAGTGCCTTTTCATATTCATTACTTTGTAAGCATTTTCTCTCTAGACATTTTGCATGCAAAGTGCAGTCTCATTGTCCAGACAAAAGAGGTCATTGGTATTCCTGTAATATACCCTAAATTTTCATCTGGTATGCTAGAGTTGACTGTTTCGTGCTCCTGCTTTGACTCAAGTTATGTTCCAGAGATCTTATCGAAAATGTAACATTATGCAGTCTGGTGCTGTTAAAAATTTCTGTCACAAAAAACCTGTAAGATCTTGATCTTATTGGGTGTATTGACGACTTGTCATTTGACATTTGTTATTGCTCAAATGTTGAAATGTCCTGTAAGTAGCTTGTAATTTTATTGACTAGGTTGGTGCTCTGAGGAGAAGGTTAATGGAACTAATAAGTCTTGTACAGGAAGTGGTAAGCTCAATTACATTGAATCTATTAGGTGATGAATCTATTATAATCGATTAGATCAATCATATATTTTTTAAAGAGTTTGAAGCAAAACAGAAGGGTTTGAAGCAAAATAGAAGGGTGTTAGTGTATTTTTTGGTACAGATATGAACTGAACATTCACTTTAACCAAAATTATGTAGGACATCTCTACAATCCATAAAAATTCCATTTATTCTTCTTTTCTTTCTTATTCAGTGATAAGAATATGATTATATATCTATGGATAATTGTGAAGGACAATTTTTTAAATCTGTTTTACACATTATGAAAGGTTAGAACAATATTTTCAGTGAAGTAAATGAGAAATATCTGCAAATTCTGATTATTTTTTATTTAGGAAAAGAATGTTGATAGTGTACGAACAGCAAAAGAAGAGGTTTGTTGTTTTCATTCAGAAATGACATCTAGAAGTAAAGTATTATTTTCATGACTGATGACTTGTGTCTCTATAGTCAAGTCTCGCTTGATGACTGATAACATTCAAATGGTATTTCGTTCAACTATCAAGCTGGTTGAGTTGACAGCCTAATTATACTTTCTGTTATAAATTGTAATGTTTAAAAAATTGCACTAAGGAAGTAAAGAATTAAAAAATCCCTATTTTAAAGAGAAGTTTTATACTTTTATAAGAGAAGTTAAAACAGTGGCAAGTTGGAGTAGTGATGCTTATTCTGCTTGATGTGACAGTGATAAATCAGTGACAAATTGTAACAAATAAGCTTTGATATCACAAAAGTTGAACATGGAAAGGCGGAAACATAACAAACTAAATGAGCAATAGACGACAACTGCTTTTGTATGTTGTTAATTTTTTGGTGCTCTTTTCACATTAATTGTACATTATTAATGTAAACAGATTTGCCACCAAATCCCGTGAAGAAACAGTGTCCAAGAAAAGTTACCAGAATGGACACGCTTGTTATCAGAACAGCACCTGATATTGTTCTTCTATAATCGTCTTTGTATTGTGATATTTACTAATTGCCCCTCCACAGCGTGTTCGAGAAATTCGCAGTGCTGTGGAACTGATGATTGCTCGTCTGGACACACAACTCAAGAATAAGCTACTTACCCTAATGGGTGAGTTTGTTTTGCAAATATATTTTATAAGAAACGTGGTTAAAAGATTTCTAATTGTTTTAATTTTTTTTTTCAAAACGAGTTGGGGAATTTGTAAGTAACAAAAGCTAGCGAATTTAGGGATATAAATATTTTGACAAACTATTTAAAAAATTTCGGATTCTCCAAAACTCATATCTTCTATGCAGTTCCTTGCATTGATTCTGTTTCACTTTATATTTATGTTTTTTTTGCATTTCACGAAAGTGGGTCAAATCTGGTCCAAAAAATAAAGGCATATGCCTTGCGTTTAACAGAAAGTGGTTAATGCGTATATTCTTGAATACGATATCTTAACGCTTTTGGATACCCTATTTTTCAGAGACGATCCACTTTAGATCTTTTCTGGATCGGATCCCTATTTATCTGTTAAAAGCATTGAGTCATTATAAAATGGATTGGGTATACCCAAAGTGCCAAAATCCGCTGAGTCACGATTTTCATAACTGCGATGCTATTGGTTGACCTTAAACTGGTCACATGAACTCACCTCGTACTGATTAACAAAACAGTTTCCATCAATAGCAAGTTGTCAGCAACGGATGCCAATATCACATGAAACAGCAGCGATCACGCCGAAAACAAATGACCCCTATAGAGAAGGCCTATTTACCATGATTCAATGCCTTTAAATCTAATCCAGATTCATATAGTTTCGGATTCGATCTTGTCCAAGTCCAAGAAAAAGCAAGGGGCGTTTAATAGACGACCTCTCATAATTCTTATCCTTTGTAATCAGGTCAGAAGAATGCATTAACTCAGGAAACCGAGCTACTGGAATCGTTGCTTCAAGAAGTCGAGCATCAGGTAAGACCTCACTCTGGGAGCAATCCTCTCTACTTTTGCATTAACTTTTCCTAAAAGTTCTTTACTTTTATTGAGTAGCATGAAAGCTTTGATGGCAGGAATATTTTTAAAGATTTTATCCTGGATAAATTGGGAGTGGCTTTCCATAAAATGATAAAACGGTTCTACAAATTTGTATTGTTTTCGATTTTAATTATTGAACCCTACTTTGAGCGCCTTCCCTTTTTTTAAATATGCAGTCATATGATGACATTCAAAGTTGATCTCTCTTTCTTTTGAAAGCTGCATGTGTGTACCAAAAGTGAGCTTATAAGCAAAAGCAATGAGCTTCTTCAGATGTTTGAGCAGGTAAGCATAAATGTCTTTTTATTGTTGTGTTGCTAATGGTGAAAAAATTAACTTATAAGCCTTGAAAACTTTCTGTACGGATGGTGCTGCGGGGCTATCATATCTTGCATATTTTTGTTTAAATATGTCCATCAAGTGTATTTCTTATTTTGAGAAGATTCTGAATCAGACCAACAGCACATTTTGATATCAGCTTATTTGATTATATTTTGTTCACTGCGTAGTAGTTTTTCGCAGGAAAAGTAAGTATTTGAATAAGTAAACTTTTCACTCATATATATGTCAACTGATGCTATTTGGTGTATAGAATGGTTCTAAGTTGCTACTTTTAAGTTCGCTTTGGTGTAACTTAGAACCGTCCTGTTATATACACCAAATAGCGTGTACAGCTCTGCCTAAAAGGTATTGAGCACTCCATGACAGACCAGTAAACAGTAATTTTCATTATATGTCAACTGAAATGATATTACCAAGTAATATTCCTCAAGCCAAGATCTCAAACCTTATGGCTGTAGATACGGAGGTGTCGTTTCTCGAGCTATTTGATTGTGTTTCATAGCAATAAGTTCGTAATGTATCATTGTCAACAGCTGGTCAACAGTAGTTTTATTGCAGGTTCATCGTAAGCCAATGGCATCGTTTGTTACTGCGTCCATACCAGCTGATTTTACAAGGTATTTGTCTGCTTTTTACATCGAATGAATTTTCCAGCCTGAGAAAATGAAAGAAACAGCGTTCCAATTTGATCTTTTTGCTTTGATCCAGAAAGTAATTTGCATTATGCTCTTTCATTGCTTGTCATTTCGTGTATTCAACGACTTCCTGAAATAACCTGAAATAGTAATGAATGTAAGCAAAGTAAAAAAAAAATTAGGAAGGAATGATGAGAACCTTTATTGTTTCTACTTAAAATATTTATGTTTGCGCTTTTTTCAACAGTGAAATTGTCCCAGCATATGATTCAACTACATTCTGTATATCAAATTTCAGGTAATGTACACCTTAACCCCATTTCAGTTTGTGTTGTGGTTATCAATGCTTCAGTTTGCAGACCTCTTGCTCCTCTTCTTTGGTTCTTCACAATTCATTTTATCTTGGCAGCTACCACTCTGCGATCATTTGCTATACTATGAAAGATAAAGCGATTTCACGGCATCTAGCAATTCTTGGATCAAAATATTTACTTCCTGCAGTTTTAATTCTTTAGATGGTGCTGATAATTTCAATGCGTTATTGGTAATTCTGCTAATCTATGTCTTAAGGAAGATGATGTCATTTGGCCGGCCTGCCTTTTGCAACATACGATGAATTATCTGTTTATCAGTCCATCTATCATTATATCGGCTCTTCTTGGTTCACAATTAATCGTCTATTCAAGTATAAACTATCAATGGTGCCAAATTCACTTGATATAATCGTCTGATTTAATATTTCGCGCTATAGCACTCTGCGCCATAAAGGTGACCCAGTTTACAGCGACCCATTGAATGTCAATGGCCTTAGTTGGAGACTTAAAGTCTACCCGGTGAGTAAGATTTTTCCATAGTTCTGCCCTAGTAAGTATTCATGATTTAGGCTCGTTTAATAGGCTTCGTCAAAATTTCAAGGGTTTTTGTTATTGAGAGTTATATTAGCCATCATTCTGAGAACAACGTAATCGAGAAAGAATATTCCATTATAAAATTGTAGCCATTAAGCATGTATGCCTTGGAATTTGTAAAATTTCTGTCTAATACAGCTTTTACAAACAATTTCACACATTTTGAGATCCTTCAAGCTGTGTGCTGCAAGGCTGTTTTCTTAGACTTGCTTGTTTTTTTAGATGTACTTAGATGTTCTGTGGGATTGTAAAAAAAGTATTTCTTGTTTGAAATAGACTGGCGCCTTTTTTTCAGGAAGGATGATTTAAAACCAAGGCTTTTATTCTGGTAAAAGTCTGATTAATTTTAACGAAATATTACAGCAGCATTTCATTCTTTTTTAGGATGGAAATGGGGTTGTTCGTGGAAACTATCTTTCTGTTTTCCTGGAACTGACTGCTGGGCTTCCGGAAACGTCAAAGTGGGTTTCTCACTTGTTCAATCGCGCACTAGATTTAACTATCAGTTTAAATATTTGCTGAACGTTCTATAAAATCTACTGAAGTTATTTGTTTATCATAATATATTTTTAATTTTAGGTGAATTCTTATAAGTACCATTACTGGCATTTTAATTCATTTTCAATTATTTCTCGCAGGTACGAATACAGAGTTGAAATGATACACCAGTCCTGTCTTGACAGTAGTAAGAACATTGTCAGAGAATTTGGTAAGCTATCATTGAATTACATTGCAAGTATCTATATTGTTTAGCCTGAAAAGGTCCCACTGTATTGTATTCATTCGGGGGACATAACCCCTTCAGCCGGCAACGCATGTAAACTTATCATCAGATTTTTAGCTGGCCTATTTCGCCTGCCACTCGACTTTAATTGTAATTAGGAATTAGGATTTAGATAATAATTTTTTATATTGAGTCCTTATCTGCATTGTTTTTCTCTACGATAAATATTACATGCATTTGCAATTTTCGCCCTCTTTGTCATTTTTGTAGCATCTGATTTTGAAGTGGCGGAATGCTGGGGTTATAATCGATTCTTTCGCTTGGATTTATTGGTGAGTTTTTATTTGATACTGGTCAGTTTATAGTATTCTAAATTGCCATGTACAGTTAGTATCTTCATCAGAGTGAATTTTACAAATTTTAGTAAAGCACAAGCTATTAATCATAAACCTGAATTCAAAGCTGGTTAGATTTGTCCTCCTTGATATGCGTTTCATGTTTGTTATGCAGGCAAGTGAAGGCTACCTCAGTGTACAGAATGATACGTTGATTCTTCGATTTCAAGTACGTGCGCCAACCTACTACCAGAAATGTCGCGATCAGCAATGGCATATTAACCAAATGGAAGCATCCCACCAGCACTACATTCAGCAGATTAATGAACTCAAAGAGAGGCTAGCAATTGAGTTGTCTCGTAATCACGCTTTAGCATCCACTGCCGCCCGCGGTGCACATTCTGTTCTGCACCCATGCTCTACATCTAGCAATGCATCATTGTTAGAGCAAACTATTGAACAGACTAGCGACAACGAGACACAAACGCGTAGAGGCAAGCAGCCAAGTCGCCGATCTCACGGCGCTGCGAAGCAGAAAGCTTTGAGAAAGCCTCGTCACGTGGTTGTCGACTATGAAATGCCTTCAGGTAAATTTGCTCTAAGTTATGTAATGTGCTAAAAACCTTTTTTTTATAAGGATGCAAAAGGTGGTTTATACATATTAATATTGATTCCAGTTTTGATGGGGCTGTAATTTGCAAGCTTCTTTTTCATGTAAGTAGACGCTAAGGACAGCATCATTTATTTAATATTTAGTATTTAAATTCGGGTTATATTACCTATAAAAGAATAGAATAAGTGAATTCAAATCTAAAAAGCCACTATCATTATCATTATTCAAGTTATTTTATGGTCCATTTATATCCATTTCAAATAATCGAGGAACGTTTTTACGTGACGTTGCTTAAATTCTAAAATTGCTTTTCCCGTACATTTTCTTAACCCCGTCAGTTTATATTATTTCTTTATGAGTCGAATTGCAAAGTTGATAATAGGGAGATTGAAGCTACTCGGAGTCTATGTAATTAAGCACAAATAGCATCGGTTGTCTTGATTTTTAACATACAAATATCTTAAGATTAGGGAAATTTTCTATGCGGGCTTCTATGTTTTATTGTGAACTAACCATATTTTGTATTGCAAGGCGAAGCAGACCAAGAGGAGAAGGAGACGCCAGTGGATGATGACCCCATGCCTGACAGATCCATCACACCGAACATGGACGAGTCTGATGAAGACAACGAAGGGGGTTCTACAGAAGGAGACGACGAAGACGAAGAAGATTCGGATTTAGAAGAACAGGATGCCGATGAGAATGAGAATTCATCGATGAGAACGACCAATATTGCTGCCGAAAGTGAAAACGAAGACGGAGTCGAGCAAGAAGAGGCTGCTCACTCTCACGATAATGTTGTTCCAGAACTAGAAGGTAAACTAGAGCGAAATGTTTAGGCCAGTTGTCATTGTAACACAGATGTTTCCATTGGGATGCTCCTTTCCCGTTTTGGAATCGCACTACACCTATTTTTGTAATGTGTTTTCAGTGCTATGTCGTACCATTTTGCAAATGGTTTCAAAATCTGAACAAAGTTTTAAAGGATTCAGATAAGCATGGGCTTCAAAGGCAATTTCTTCAAACCCTCTTTATGTTTTGTACTGAAGTTTCCCAAATTGTATCCAAACGTCCCTAATGCAGTCCAAACTATTTCATTTAAGAAGGTAAAAGGAAATACTCATCTCGAATTTGATTAAAGATACTGGTTTACTTGTCTGTAGCATGGTGCTCGATGCTGTAAAGGCAGACAGAGCTGTACACGTGTTGGTGTATAGAACAGGACGGTTTTATTCTGTGCAACTTAAAGACTCGTTGCTAACAATTGGCCTTTGCGAGCGTGGCGACGGTCCAAACAATGGCAGTAAACTTCTACGGATTAACCAAAATTGATTTCAGACTGTCTAAAAATGCATTATGGGATGCTTGGGTAGCGCAATGGCTCATTGTTAGCAATTGGTCTTTAAACCCGTTCTGTTCTATCACCAAAGCGTAGGTTCTCAATGAATTTAGCTATTCTTTTTCATGCGTTGCTTTATGTTTGTATTTTGATGTTAAATGCAGATACCTTACTTTTTCGTAGAGTTGAATTTACATGACGTACACGAGCTTGACCATAGTGTTATGAATGATGTCGACGAAAAGTTACATTTGGAGCAAAAACGCTCGGAATCTTGGCATGACGAAGAAACGGAGTTGGACTTCCATGATTCGGACGGTGAAAACGAGGCTGCAGCTAGCGGATTCAATCTCGGGTTCGTGGATCCAGAAGAGCGTGCTTTACTTGATATGTTAGAAACTGAGGAGCGATCATCAAGCGAAAGTCTCCTTGGCAAAGATTTTCTAGGATTCCCATCAATCAGAAACACGGCTAGGCCGTGTATGCAATCAAGGACGCGTGCAAACAATAAGTCAGATGTTGATTTTCTTAGAGCGTTTCTTTGCGATGATTCCAACACAGGCATTGCAGACGATTCTAGTTTTTCACTCACAGATGATAACGATAAGATGCAAGGTAGCAGCAGCAGCTCGATAGAGAATCTTGTAAAAATTGCAGTCGCTGGTAAGTGGAAATGTTATCCTTGCTTCATGGCTAGATTCACGTACTCACTGATCGTACTGTGGTTCAGTGTTTCTAATCCAATCACCACTTAGTAGCATTATGCCATTGATATTTGGTGAATATTACGGCCTAGTAACTCTTGACAGAAATGGCACTCCTAATATTGTTAGAAGTTTTCTTCGTATCCTTTCATAAGAATAGCACCTTGATTTTCAAAGACCAACAAAGAAATTGCCTTTGCTTTTTAGCAAGAGATGTGAAATTCACAAATAAATATCTTAGTACCTTCCGGCTACTGTTTATCGGTCTGTCGATGCCGTATATAATTAGCTGCGCATGCTGTTGTGTGTGGAACTGGATGGTTTAATGTTGCAACTCTTTATCGCCAAGCGTTTAAATCTTAGTCGATCGTCAGGCAGCTTTCACTTGATCGATTATATTAAGTGTGAAACTTAAAAACCACCCTGATCCACACAATTTGGCATGTCATCGAACTTTCTTTGCTGTCCTGCTAAACTAGCCCGAATGATACTTTGCTAGAGCAGATTCTTATATAATATGTGTCAATTTGAGAAGAATACGTAACGTTTTCATTCTGTTTTGTATCGGTTAAGTTGAAATTATCTAGAATTGAAGTAATCAAAGGTAAGAACCACTATATATATTTTCAGCTAATTTTGTTAATTTTCAGAGGCTCTCGAAAGGCATGTATTGGAAGAAAAACAAGCCGTTTGTCATGTTGAAAATGGTAAGTTGCCTCTGAAAGTATTGTGTTTTTGCTGTGTTGTGTTGCTTCAATCATGACATTGTTTTACCATCAACCTTAATCATTCGTTTTTGTATAGCATTTACAAATCTTTTCACCGTTACTTGCGTTATTCTACTTTTAAAGACAAACAATTATCGCTCTAATGCTAAAGTTGGCTCAGTCATTGTACAGAGAATGTACTCAAAGTGTACGATCTCTTTGGTGATTCTTTATATCAAGAGTTGGGATGTGCCTTTATCTCTCTATTGTCAAAAACCCGGCCACCGTATCATGCTGCTGATATATCTAAATATTTTTGTTTTGAATCCGTTTATTTTAGTATGTCAGCTCAGCATGAAATACCTTTTATTATTATTATTATTGCAGCCAATTTTCTAATAATCGTTACTATATATCATACTGTTGTAACCCTGGTGGCCGTATTCGTACTTTTTACTGTTTTGTGCATTATTTTAATGCTTTTAAGGCAACGTGAAATAATTATAACCAAAAAGTAATCCCCTTAAACCACAAATCCATTGCTCTAGAAGTCGATTTCTTTTATTTAGAGTATAAAATTCAAATTTCTATAAAAGCCGGTTTGTTTAAATAACAAGGCAATTGCCTGCTTTTATTTCAGAGGCTAGTGAAGAAGCTGATAGAGCAGGAGCGAGGTCCAATATTGCCAGCTCCTGGCCTCAGTTGGATTTGTTGAAATTGACCAGCTCCGGCGAAAAATGTGCATCCAGGTAATTTTAGCGACACAATCATTGACCTGTTGGCTGTTCACATGAAATGATGGATAAAACGACTCTGCGAATAATGTAGCTACAAACCCTGCTTTAACAAATGATTAGCATAACTGAGCAATACATTTCTGCTTCTGTTGCATGTACAGGAAAGCAGTGGGCCAAATTTCGACAAAATTTTAAGCATGCTAAAAATTTGAAAAGTAGTGAAAACATTCATCTTCATACATGTGGTACATATGGATATTGAAATGGCGGTAAAAAGTTTCAAACTCTTCTGCTTTTGACCCATTATAAGTGATTCTTTCTATGGAAAATAAGTTGTTTTTTCTTGCTGCAAAATAGAATGCTTTGTTCATTCTAAGAGTTTATATAGCTATTCGTGCAAGCCAAGGTTTGTGGATGGTTTATTAACGACTTTTTCTGTGTTATCACTTCTAGAGAATCTTAAAATTTCGAGATGAAACTTTCTGCAACAGTCCTTGGAAATTTGATATATTTTTGAAGTTTCGTCACTTCTTTCAGTTGACGTCACGCTCTTATTCAGAAGCATTATTAATGTTATCTAGACACAGCAAAGTGAGATTTAGAAATGTACGTCACTGCTCTTTTTCGTAGGGAAACAAAGCGACCAGATAAAATATCAAAAGCAAAGTCAGCAGCATGCAGTTTAGAAAAGGAATTTTTAGGTTTGTTTATTTAAACGTGTATCTGTTATTTGATTGTAAGTTAGTTTCGTTAAGTAAGATTTGTGAGGCATTCATCCCCGTTATTTTGCAAGAGTCAGCTTGTTCTTTGGTCTTGTTATAAAGATTTATATGGGGTTAGAGGGTAGAAGTTCTTAGTTTTAGTCATATTTGAAATGTGTATTTTAATGACGAATTGGGTGAGTAATGCCTGGAGAAAGTGGTAACTAAGAAAAAAGGGTTTCAGGGTCAATGCACTTTTGTTAAATAAAGACCTTGTGATTTATCAAGCAGAATAGGTTCTTAAACACAAAGTGCTTGGGAAAAAGAAAGATATTTTGTTAGCCTGCGTGCAGACTTGGAAATTTAAAAGAGGAGAGAAAATAGAGTCTGCGCAACATAGTCGCTCTTCTTGTTCGCTGACATCAACATTTTATTCTAAGCACTAGAACAACAACTCCATTAGCGTGCAATGTTTTTCTGTAATTTTATTTGTTCAAAAGAACAAACAGACCTATTCTATTATCCTGATACCATTCATTAATACTTCTGCTCGAAGGCGCCACTTTGAAAACTGAAAAAAAAGCAATTGAAGTTCCCCCAACCAATCAATTTCGGTTCCTTGATTTTTAGGAACCCGTGAACAAGAAAATCGGCTCGGCTTCGCAGACTCTACTTTCCTTCCTATTTTCAATTTTGACAACAGAAGCTGCAGGCAGGCTACATTTTGTAGGTTATTAAATTTTTTAGGATTTTGTATGTGGGGTTTTACTGTGTTTAGATGAAATGGTTACAAATTATTTGAAGGAAATTCGTTATTGGCAAGAGGAAAGCCTCAGGACAGGCTTGGCAGCATTATTCTTTATTGTTATGATTATAGCTAAGTTAGGGAATTCGTCGCTCTAGGGTTGGAAAAGTGGACTTCTCAATTATTGTCAAACCTACGTAACTCGAGTGATAATGGGATGGGCAGGAGGACGAGCGAAGAATCTCCGCAAAGCCAGTTTGTAATAAGTGGTCGAGAAGGTATATCGTTTTGTATTGACTGGTATTGAATTGTTCTGATTGGTGTTGAGCTGTAAAACTGTTTTAAGTTATGTTGTTAAAAGTGTATATGGTTGAACGTTGGCATTATATAGGGCAAAATTTGACACAGAGTAAATGATCCAAAATTTTAAAGCAAACAGTCCCTTTCGTTAGAAAGAAGTATCGAGTTTTAACCCAAAAAGCGGGTAAATCTCAGGCCTGGTAGGGTAGGGTAGGGTAGGGTAGGGTAGGGTAGGGTAGGGTAGGGTAGGGTAGGGAAGGGAAGGGAAGGGAAGGGTAGGGTAGGGTAGGGTAGGGTAGGGTAGGGTAGGGTAGGGTAGGCAGCAGTTTTAAGGGTCTTTCGTTGCTCTATGGGAGTCGTTCGTGCCAATTAATTTTGAGTCAAGGAACAGCTTTTTCCAGAAGTCGAAAAGTGAAGTCATTCTCAGTACAATCAAAGCTAGCCTCATGCCATTATCATACGCATACTTTTTATTTGCTGTTTGCAGTGGAAAACAAAGGGGTTTGGTTTAAGATTTTAATGGAAATATTACTGTGTTAAGAAAGTGAAATTTGTGAGTCAGATATTCTCTCATTAATCTAACTTTAATCTTGATCAAATTGTTTTAAATATCAAACCTACAGGTTCTTTTTAGTTTACCATTTCATGTTATTTTTAGGGGATGAAAGTCTTTCCTCTGAAACCTCCAATGCAGTCGCAGGCAATGTAGTCACCGGAGTCGAAGAAAACGAGAGAACAGGTGCGTAACTTGTCTCTTTTTTTGATACTTGCACTTATGAATTGTAAACTAGGGAGACTGCAATTTCTCTGCTCGAGAACACGGAAAGAAGTTTACCTCTCTATACGGTCATAGCATGAATGCAGAACAATTTCAAAATGTTTGCTTCATTTTAACGACTTTTACTGTCTCTGAAATTTGCAGGTTTTGTATTGCTTTGTAAAGGGTGACAGAGTTTTTTGTTTCATAGGTGACTCATAAAGCTTTCCTTTGAATTTCTTGGGCGGTTGGTTGAATTTTTATTAGTGGCACGACCTTGTCTTAAAGGACCATCGTAATGCACCATATTTTAACGCTGGAAGAAGCAAGGCTTTGTAGCCACAATAACAATTATGGATGTATAAATTATTTAAAACTTTATTGTTATTGCTAGTAATTTTCAACTTCCGTATTTTGATATTTAGGTATTAAACTATATACTATTGAGTTACTTAATTTTAGAGTTGAGGGTTTTCAAGCTTCACTTCTACGGTTTTGTAGTGCCGTAGTAAGCTTCACGATTCTCCATAGAAGATTTACATTGTTTAATATTTACAATATATTCCGGCAGTAATGAGTTTACTGAAAGGCTCAAGAAGTTTTTATAACAGCACAGCACAAACATTCTGTATATTCCTTGTATATATGCAAATTAAAATAATAGGCCCTAAATATTCATTTAAGCTCACAGCCCAAATAGTATCTTTAAATCATGGGGGAGTACTATTTTGTTATCAAGGCTGAAACGAATGATTGTGTGTTCTATTAATTTATTACTGTGAATTTCTAGTTGGCACATTTACGCAGAATCTTAAGATTAATTGACCTTGCCAATGCAAAACAACTTCATTTTGTTGTTATCGTCATCTTTTGTACATTCTTTTCTGAATTCATATTAGAAACATTGTATTTGCATTTACACTTAATTGACTTGCTTTCGATTCTCATTTCGTCCCTTTATCATTATACTTCTTTAAAATTTTTTACTGAGATGATATTTAAGAGTTCAAACTAGAATGCATCAAAAGTCAATAAAAGGCTTACCCCCACCTTATGTTGCCATTTATTAAAAAGTTCCTAAAACTTTTAAGATGTTTTTTTGTTATTTTTACCAGTATAGAATTTTGCCATCTGGATTTTGCATTGGCAGAAATTAGACCTTTCCAAAATTCGTTTATGGTTGTCTGGAAATCGAAATAATTGTTTCTAATAATTATTCATGTTGTATTATTTTTATCGAATCTGATTTAGGAGCAGAGAGCATCAGTGCTGGAAAGTTGCATCTAAAGAAATTTTCTGTGCCAAGTGCATATGTAATTTGTTCATACATAAAGCGTATTCATATTACTAGCCTGGCTTATTAAAGGGATCTGGATGTTTCAAAATGGATACTTTGTTTTCGGGGGTGTAAAAGCAACTCTTTTTTGCTATGTGACAAGGTTAGATTAATTGATAAATGGGAAGAGTTAAAGTTGCTTTTGTTTGGCAGTTGGTTTTGGAACTTGTAGAGTGTAACTGTTATTTTTCACTTGAATAGGGGTGCTTATATAGAAGAGGATACACGATTTGATAGAAAGTTTTGATGAAATATATTTTGCTTTTTGAATGCTGTCTTATCAATATGATGTGTGCTAAGAGGACTGAACTTAAAGTGATCATTTTGTGTTTGCCATTTAGATCACCCTCAAAGTGATGTGTTTGTTATTGCCATTTCAGATCACTAGTTTGTGTTCAGTTTGACAAACAGGCAGAAAGATCGCTGCACATTTTGCCGTTTGCTTGTCCTTTTGAGAAGGTTCCTCCAAACGACTGTTCTATTAATCGTTGTTGAACTCTCTGCCTTACGTTTGATAACTGGTTATACCAGAAACATTTGATAACTGGATATTCAAGATTACGTTCTATTTATACTTCTATTCTTTTGCAACACCTTCTTTTCAATCACCATCAGTTCTATTACTAAAACGATGCAAGTTTGAAAATAGCAATTTTCCATTCCATGTTTCCTTATCTAAGACCATGATAAGAGCAATAACTTGACAGTTTTAACCGTATCAGAGTAAATGTGTGTGATTCAAATTACACGTTTAATTTTGATTTTATTCATTGATCATTAAATTCATACCATCTGATCCGAATGCCAATTTGTGCATCACTGTTAGGAATGTGTCGCGCCCATTAACACTCATTTATTATCGAACTTTTCATCCCCTTGCCGAAACATTAGAAGAATTTGGTAATTACTGTTAACAGTCTCAACCCTTCAACGTTCCTAAAGAAATGATTTGCTTTCTTTCTGTTTCATTGATCTCATTTTGATATACATGAAGACGACATCCAATATTTATGTATGGACGATATACATCAATGTTTTTTGTCTTTGTTTTTGTTTTAACTTCCAAATTGTAAGTGTTTTTTTGTTATTGTAATCTGTAACATGTAATTTGTAACATTTGATATAGCCCTTATTTCAAATAAACATGTTTAATGTAATGGTCACCGGTTTGCTATGTATTCCATGCTCCCTGTGGCATCGTCTTGTAGTTTGTCCGTTTTGCAAAATTTTATGCGAATATATAAAAAAAGGAAAAAAAGACGACAATCCCATTCCAATAGGTTAATGGTCTCGTTTCGGCGTTGATAAACGCAGGAAAAGCTGTGGGTAGGTTCTAAACCACATATACCATGAATTTCCACTCGGTGCTTAAAACACATAGGCAAGTTCAGACAGGCCAATGAACAGGAGGCTTCCGTTTTGCAGGTAGGTGTTGACGAATTATGGAGCCGTCATAAATTACATACTTTATTGATGTAAGAACCAGTTTTACATTATAACGTTTGTCCAATTTTGAGGCTTGGGTTCTTATAAAATGTTTATAAAAACGAGTGTATGGAATGGAGGAGGGAGGAAAATATTACTGATTTCACCGTGAAATGATGAAGAAGCCTTACCCTATGTGAGAAGCAGAAAATATTTATGCGCCCCCCTAAGTATCTGCAAAGCATTTTTGTTCCCAACTGCATGGTAAAGAAATGTCTTGAAGAAATACTTGATTCACTTGTTCCTATTCACCATGCTGTCGCCATTGAATGTTCCAAAATATTACCGTCATCATATGACCTATTTTTATCACGTTAAACATTTTGTTAGCCAACGTTTCTGCCCGCAAGTTTTGGTGACATGACCCTTTCAAATCACTCCCCCCATGTTCCATACTTCATGATGGCTGCTCTCTTAACATTTGATTTTTGTTTTTACCTTGGTTTGCACTATATAAATGTTTAGAATGAGGAAACAATTTTTATACAAGGCTTGTGATAAGAAAGCTTCTAAATCTAGTGGATACTTTTGAGGTGCTATATTTCCTTTTTATTCCCTGTAAACCTGACCTGGGGTCCCCAATCCCAAAAGAACAAAATTTGATAAATACCTCACTATTTTCCTGTGAGATCTTCTGTCACCTCTTAAATTTATATGATAACATTTACAGTAACTTTCTTCATATCATTTTATATCATCATAATAGTAATTTATTAATGGTTAGAGAGCTTTCATAGCTGGTGAACATGTTCAAGAAGCTTTTTTTTCTGTGTTTGGCAGAGGCATTAGATTAAAGAGAACCAAAAAAGAGGCTAATAAGATGGATCACATTATTGTCTTGTATCCATGGAGGATTTAAACATCACAGGTCAGAACCCTGGAAGAAACTGATTGTGAAAAGCTAGGGAAATTTTTTTTAAGCAAGTCATTTCAGTATGATATGCAGTCAACTGTTCACGGCTTGGGTACCTCAACATTGCAAGAATTCATAAGAATTTTCAAGACTTCTGCAAAATTTAGCAAGGATTTTTAAGGCAGATGAAAGGTTGTAAATTTAAATCAGACTAAAAATTTCAAAAACATTTGTAAGCATTCTTAAGTAGGAAAACCATTTTAGTTTGTACAGGGCATGCACCGTATAGACCAATGAATTTGCCTTCCTTTTTTTCCTCTTTGAAGAACATAAGAAGAAAAAAAGTTGCTAATTGCAAAAGGCTATATTTCAAAACGTTTCCTCCAGAACTTTATGCATAAAAGTCTTTCTGCAACTGCCTGGTTGTATGGTTAGGCGGGGTTTCACGTCCTCCATTGTACTATGCCACATTCTTGTGTTCCACTTTGATAAAACATTATCTTTGCAAACTGCACCCTTCCCTACATTCTCTCTTAGTTTATTTTCAAAAAATTATATTTTTCATTTTTCTCACCTCACTGCATTGTTCTCTTTTTCACAATCTATTTTAAATCAAAGCCTGATATCATATACTCCATAACCATTAGCCCATACGGTTGTTCTAAATCTTCGAAAGAATTATATATACAGATACAGAATTATATCTGTATATATAATTCTTTCGAAGATTTAGAACAAATAAAGAGGACCATATGGGCTAATGGTTATGGAGTATATGATATCAGGCTTTGATTTAAAATAGATTGTGAAAAAGAGAACAATGCAGTGAGGTGAGAAAAATGAAAAATATAATTTTTTGAAAATAAACTAAGAGAGAATGTAGGGAAGGGTGCAGTTTGCAAAGATAATGTTTTATCAAAGTGGAACACAATTGTCCTTCTAATTCTAGGACAATAGCAAAGTGTTCTTTTCAGCATTTGAACAGCATGCCTTTAACAAATTTCTTTGAAGGTCCAACTCACAAACCAATCTCGAAGAAAGGGTTTTTAAGTAATTGTATTCAAAGTTTGCTGTGTGTGCTTGGAACTATAACTCATCCCAAATACAGGTATCATCCTCCCCAACTCCTCCCAGTCTACAGATGATCAGAGCTGCTATGATGACCTTTTCAAAACAGCTTGCTTCCAAAATTATACCTGCAAAAAATTCTTTATTAATCTAGTTTGCCAGGTGCTAGTAAAGGATGTTGATTTTTTTCTTTCACTTGATTGTTTCCTGGTGCTTCCTTGATACAGGCCAGATTATATTTGACCTCATCAGCATTCCATCACGTTTAATTCTGTTCACACTTAAGAGTATATACTGTTTCACTTTTAATGTTTTTACAACATAAAATGCTGGATGAGATTAAACGTTTAAGTATACAGTTGAAATCTTTCCTGTTTTCTTTGCTCTCTTTCTGCAATGACATTGATCGTTGTGTATTAGTATGTTTTTATCGTTTGTAGAAATGGCATCTAGACTAGATGGCTCAACATTCAATGGTCGACTCTCCCTCCGTACCTCTGATAACTGCCAGAAGGGTAAATTACTTCAGAATCCCAATTTCGATGCCAGTAAAGAGCTTGAGAGCAAACTAGTTTATAAGGAAGGGAATTCATTTGTCGCTACAATTGACAATGTTTTTACAGCAGAGCAATGTGAGGAAATAATCAAAAACTGTTTACACGAACAATTTGACTCAATGATTGATAAATACATAGCAAAAAAGAGAAACAACTCAAGAAGGCTTGTCTTGGACTCTGATCTTGGGTCAGATTTATGGTCGTTTCTAAAGCCTTGTCTTCATTCTATACTCGAGGAGAATGAGATATCTTGTTTACCTTTAGGTTTTGATGTTTTGAGGGGAGAGTGGCAGTTAGATGGCCTAAACGAAGCTTTTCGAATTAATAAATACTGTTCTGAAAAGATAGAGTTCTTTTCACCACATAAAGATGCTCAGTATTGTCCAAATGGAGATCATAGGTCAATCTTGACTTTGTTGATTTATGCAAACGATGATTTTAGTGGTGGGGAGACCAATTTCTATTTTCCAAAAATAGCAAAGAACTCTGATTTTGCAAAGAAACGGATATTTTTGAAAGACCAGACCATTCAAGAGGAAATTGATAAACGAGGTGGGTTGCAGAAAGGCTACTTGAAGTTCACTGTCAATCCGTTGATCGGAAGAATCGTAGTCTTCAGCCAAAATGTCCTGCACGAGTCTTCTCCAGTTGAAGGTGGGACTAAGATTTCGATAAAGAGTGATGTTCTTGCCAAACGTATAAATAAGATGTATGGCTTTGCTGTTTGCGAGGAAGAAAGGGAGGATTACCGAAAATGTCTTGACTATTTTCGACGTGCACAAACATATGAACTCGATGGATACAAGGAGAAAGCTGGAACGTTATATGAAAGAGCTTTGTCAATAAGGTATTGCTATCCAAATGCCCTTCAGAAGGAGGAAGAAGACTGCACACAAACCTCATACAACGATGATTATTGCACATTCCCTACTGTAGTATGGCATCGTATTTTCGATTTTCTAAGTGGGGTTGATATTGAATCGGTTGTAAGAGCATTCCCTGTTCTATGGTCAACAAGAAAAGACTGGGAGATGCGAAGATGCTTGAAAGACAAAAACACTTACGAGGGCAACCCTCTTTATATTCCTGAGGTTGTTCTTCATGATGGGATGACCACATGTTTCAAGTTCTGCGATTCCTTTTTCTTTGAAGAAAATGAGGAAAGCTGTGTCAGAGTTGCTGCCATGTATGCATTTTATCTTCTTGGACATAAAGTTGATGAAAAATTCTACACAGTTAGGTACGATCCAGATACTCAAGAAGTAACAGCTGTTGCACTGAAATCTCTGCTTTTGGATACATTTCTGAACCGACCTTGCTACGGGGCAATTTATGCAGTCAACCAGGTTGACGAGGGTAATCAAAACCCCAAATTAGATTTTCACGAATCAGTAGATAGAACATATATGTCACTGAGGCATAATGCACAGTTTGTCGGCACTCCTGTGAAAGAAAACATGACTGTAAAGGTCAAATGGCCTTACATCAAAGAGAGTGATCTAGATAAACTTGTTGCAAAAATGGCGGACTCTGACTCAGAAGAAGACACGAGTGATCAGGATTCCAATATTTCCGATGATTCAGACTCTGAAGGTGTTGTGAAAATGTTTAAGGACGCTGTTATGAATTCAATCGAGAAGACGTTAAGTTTGGTCGATGATCCAGTAGAGCATTTTGTCTATGGCTATGATACTGAATTTTCAGAATTCTCAAGTTTCCCCGTTGTTTTAAAGGAGGTGACAAGGTGGGAACATCTGGATGGTGAAATCAATTCTGGAACTTATGATGAGGATACTTGGTATGAAAAAAGCAATGTGATTAATCCACAAGAAGGGCCTACTTGTGATAATTCGTCTGCTGTCAATCTCTATTTTCGTAAGACAGTAGAGGTTGTAAATGAAAACCCAGCAGTCTCTGCTACATTGGTTTCCAAATTGAAAAAGCCAGTTGAAATTGATGGCCACCTGTGCTTCTGCTATTGGCCGGGTGGGGAAGGGTACTCACAAATTGACAAGTCTTGTCACACAAAATGCTACAACCATCTTGTGTTTGACTTTTCAACTCACCAAATGGCAGTTGTAAAGGAAGAATCACCGAAACAGGACTCAGAGGAATTCCATGACAAAGAAGATGCTGGGTGTCCAGAGAGGGAGGAGCATTGCCCATTTTACAACATTCCGTTTTTCGGTTGCACTGAAGAGGACCTTGGTGGATTGACAGATATCCGCAGATACAGAGTAGATCTGCTGCCACTTCTTAAACAGGCCTATCCATTTAATCATGCTAGCTGTAACTGCTACGTTCCCAGTTTTACCATCACCGAATGTCAAAACTTACTTGATTACCCTATATTGAACCACGTCCATGTTGTTGGTGGTGTAAAAAGTGGAACCACTGAGGTCCTGCTGTGGGTGATTTATGGCGGAATAGTCGCTCTTTGAGTTTCCCATATTTATTCAAGATTTTTACAACAGAGTGCTTTTTTAGTTAAGTCTCCAATTCCGAAATTCTTTTTAACAGATATTACGTCTATCGTCGATCCTGGAAATTTTGTGACAGCCATTCCAAACTTCCCTCTGATAAAATTCATAGAGTAAACAGCTGCAAAACTTTGCTGAGATCAGGTAATAAAACAGTCATTGTTGATTAACATTTCTTTGAAAATTGCTTCAGCTAAAATTGCCTTTTCTTTAAATTAATGCAGTTTTAGCATGGGTGCAGATTCTAAACTCCCTGTTGAAGAGGCTAGTGGAATAATTTAAGAAGCCACATTGTTAAACGATTCGATTCCATGTCGCGAAGAAAACTATCATGAATGGGTTGCACGCAGAAAATATCAGAGGTATCTTAAACGACTCTTTCAAACGATGCAAATTTAGTTTTATTAAATTACTCAAGGACCGTCGTTGCTACTTGTGTTATACACAACAACGATTGGAAGAAAAAACATGGTTATTTGATTGACAACGAATAACCAACTATAATTTCTTTGAACTCGCAACAGGAGAGTCACATAGCATTACGAACAAGCTGTCTACAAGCTTATTACCTAGTAGGTCTTGAATAGTAAGTAAAAACAGGTTTCCCTCCTTTGTATTACTTTAAAGATCTTCAAGAAAGCATTTTGTTTTATCTTTGAGTATTACTCTTCAACTGTATGCAATTTATTCTTAAAGTTTACACAAATGTTAATTATATTGGCTTACCAATTTTTGTAAGATATATTTCTATCTGTGGTGATCTTAATTTTCTAGTCCTTCTGACAGAAATTGACAGCGCCCAGAATTTAAGGGCTGTGCAAGTCTGTTGTCTAATCATCAGGTAAAGAACGCTTAATGCAAGGATACTACTAGATCTAGGTTTCGTAATATCATTTTCTTTACGTTAATGTCAAGTAATAAATATTTCTTTACGTTGAATAGTTAATAGTTTATAACCTGTAAAATTACTTCTTAGTTTCATTGTGTCTGTTTTTGAATTGAAGTTTATGTCTAATAATAAATATTTGTCAACTATCAGAAGAGACAAACAAAATGTGTTGGAAGTACAGAATATGGTTGTAGAGTCCATGGACCGCAGCAACATTTTGCATGTTTCGCCCTTCCAAACTTTTAGAGCCCCCCTCCCTCATAATTAACATGCTCAGCTGTTCCTTGTTGAACCCTTGTACGGAATGCGATAATTTGCCAGAAGCTGTTTTTTCCCTTTTTATATAAGTTACTTTTTCAAGAGAACTTTATGTGTCACAAGAACGTTACAAGAACAGCTTAAAGCTGATGTGACTGCAAAAGAACCAAAGTTTAAATTTTCAAAAAAGATTTCTCGAAGCTTTGAATAAACCTCTCGATTCTTGCAAAAAAGTCATGAAAAATAACGAATGCTAGCATCGGCCAAGTATTGAAACTTCAGCGTATTACGACACGCAATTATAACATGCATTTTTCAGTCGTAGATGTTAATTCAAAAATTGAAGAACAATTGAGTCTTTGTGCCCAAAATTAAGGTACTTTCTATGACCTACCTTTTAACTGATAGGAAATAGACAAGGCCTCGCACGACCCAATTCTAAACTGGCGGGGAGGGGGAAGGAGAAGCAATGGAAAGAAATTCTTCTCGCGGTGTCTTGTCCCCATAGTGGCAAAACCTTTTGCTGACCCTATCTTACTTGTGGATCTTGACTAAATGTATTATGTTGTAATTTCCTGTTTTGATACATAAAATTTGCTAATTTTAATCCTTTGTTTAGCAAGAATTTGAGCCCCCTTGGCCGAAACCCAGTGGCGCGGGCCCTGCAGGTTAAAGGTTTTCACTACAGGGAAAAAGCCACCGTGTAACAAGACTGGAGAGGTTTTTTATTCACGGGGACAGGGGCAACAAAATTGGTTTCATATTGTGGCTAATATGAAAGGGTTTCATATTGTGAGTGTAAAAGAGCGTTTTTGGTTTAGAAAATATGTAAAATGTATTTTTGGTGGAAGATCGTCCCAATCGAAAACGGCTAGTTTTTATTTTTCTTCAGTTTCCTTGCGGTTTTAAGACAAGTAGATATGGCAGGGACAGCAAAATTTGCATTAGACTGGCTGGGGGTGGGATGTCATACCAAAGAGACTGACTGGGGACAAAAGATCCACGTTATCAGCTACTGCAATATGCAGGGGCGGGTTCAGAGCAAATTTAAAGGAGGGACAGTTGGTAATTGGGGCTAAGAAATTTTCAGAAGTTGGTAACAAGAGTACGCTGTATACACAAATATTTCCGACCCTAATTGCTGACGGAAGTCCCTCTATTCACGTTCTAAAAAAAATTCCACAGTCATTGTGTCAAAACAATGATACATAGTCTGAGCATAACTAAAGGTCTCTTGGAGAATTTCTCTCCCAAAAGATAAATTTTTCGGCTGAACATTCACTACTCCGTCATGGCTTCAACTCTGCTAGAGTACTCTGCAAAAGAAGCTGACTTATAAGCTTTTTTCTTACCGAGAAAACGAATTTTGGGGGGCCCAGAAACTTTTGCCACTCTTGGTTTATTTTTCAATTGGAGTATGGCTGTGTAATTAGACAGTACTTTAATGAATGCGCCTAACACGCAATAGTATGATTGATTGTTCAGGGTTTGATGCAGGCAGCCACTATGGTTGGTGGCAGAAGAAGTTTTTGCAACTATGACATTCTAGAGATAGACGGAAAATGGGTCTGGGGGTATTTGCAACATCGACTGAGAACCAATGATTCTAGACACAAAAGACAAATGCTCTTTCATAATTATACTTCATAGTTTTATTTGGTTTGATTATGACATGAAGATTAGACAACTTTTAAGCGCAAGAAATTGAACACTGTTTGAGCGAAGGCAGGAGTTAGAGAACACAACATTATGGATAGCCTTTGTTGTCTTCCAAAGAATGATTTTTCTAGTAAAACATTATCCATTTTCAGAATAAACAAGTTACTTTTTTACCTGATTCTTGTTCTCCAAAAGGGGCGCCAGACTTCCATAATTTCTAAAAAAAGAGGCGCCCTAGTTGGCCCCCTTAAATCAGCCACTGGCAACATGACGACGAACGCAACGAGGTTACTTCCCCGTTTGAAAAATCGGGAATCTTGGCGGGAAATTCAGAGGGGCTGGGACCCAATTTTTGGAGCAACAACAACACATGGTGGAATCACCTACAAAACTTGCAAAATATTCAGGAAAGATGGTGGCGAAGGAAGGAATAGGGACAAAGATTTTGGATACCCTTCTTTCGTATGAAACTATCAAAATCGTTACAATAAAGAATAAGAAGGTTGGATTTTTGCACAGACTTGTCCAGCTTGCAATTTTAGGATACGTAATTGGGTAAGTTGCGTTGTTTCTGAAGGGTCCCAGGAATGAGTCATGTGCACTGATTTCACACGATTTTGCCCGCATGCATATATTTTGTATGCTCTTGCAGACGCAAGATCTTGTCGAGAACTGTCATGTTATATAAGCAATAACAGGCCCTTTTCTGTGCTATGTTGAAGATTTGTAAAAGTATTTATTATAATACCAATAAATGAATGGAGTAACTGAATTGGCCCGACAAACTCACAAAAAACAATCTTGTACATGTTAATTGAATGTTATAGACCCATGGCTCAAGAATTTAGAATTCTGCAGAAGAAAAGAAAATTAATTATATCTCTCAATATCAAAAATTTCGTTTCCAAGTTGTCGTGATCTATTTTGCATCTCAAAAATCTACCTCAGATTTGAAATCAACTGAAATTAGTTTATATTAAAAATTTCATGTTGTTTTGACAGTCAAGTTGCAAGGTACTACATTTTGTATTTAGATATTTCTACAGAATAGTCAGTCCAGTGAAATGTATAGGAAATATCAAATTTTAAATTCTGTGTAGTTTGTGTCCTGTCTGTCCAAACAACATGAAGTTTTTGACGCAGAATAACTTCAATGAGAAGATTACAGTTCTATTGTCCATTTTTGCAAATATGAAGATAACAAATTGACAGCTCTAATTTGAAAATTCAGTGGTAGTATTCTAACTATTATTCAGTGGTAGGTTTTAGGACACTGCAAAGCTGTGCTTATTGAGCAGTGTCCTGTTCCTTCCCCTCTATGGGACCACACCTCATGATTGCTTTACCTGGAACTACAGTCACAGACTCTTAGATCTGCAGTCCACCAACTTAACCAAGAGACATCCTCACATCTAAAACTTTTGACTCCAGACCACTTTCTAGAGCAGCATGTATTACTTTTTGTTTATATTTGATTTTGAAAATACAAATCATGTAAAGGTTGTTAAATGGTTATTGCGGAAGAAGTGTTATGCTTTAATATTGGTAAACGAATAAAGAAATAGATAAATGCTACTTAGTGAAAGGTTGCAAAAAAAACTCAAGAAGTAGCAGTTCTAGGAGGGATTGGATCAAACCAGGCAATTTGGTGCAGAATAGCAGGTCATCTGTTGTGCCAAAAAACTGGCTGAACTGTTTATTTTTCAATTTTCATGCTTGTTGATATTGATGGTCACATGTATTGTTTCAGTCTAAATGCTTTATAATATTCAGTGCAAATAAAAAGAAATTAGGGGCAATTGGTGTGGCTTGTTGCCTTGGGTTCTTGTTTCTTTGTAGTAATTTTTTGTTTAAAAATTGTTTTCACGATTTTTGAAATTTCTGATTTTTATTTCAGGTATGCAATCATATGGAAGAAGGGTTACCAGGAGTTTGATCAGTCTCTCAGTGCTGTGACAACTAAGCTGAAGGGTGTTGCCCTTGCTAACTTCAGTACTTTTGAGTCTCCTCTTTTAAATGGAATGCACATTTTTGACTCTGCAGACTATGTTATTCCTCCACAGGTATGTGATCATGCAAGTAATTTCTCTATTGTCACTTTTGTTGTCATGAAATAGAAAATGTGTATTGCTCAATATTCACATCAAGCATAATAACAAATTTCTTTGATTAGCTATGATTCCTTGTGTGATTTGTTACAATCTTTGGTGTAATTAGTGTGAAGGTTTCTTAAAAATTTGTTCATATTAACAATGCACTGATTTTGTAATTATCTATAGACTCCAGCTCAAGTCAAAAATTGGAGGGGGTAAGGGGTAATTGTAGACTTGTAACAAACAATTTTACAAAAACTATTTTGTTTTGCAAAAAGTAGGCTGATCATTACCTTCTGGTCCCCCATCATCAGGGGCTATGATGTTTTGAAGTCTTATTATCCTGTTTTCTCATTCTTTTCATATTTCAGGCCAAACCAGAAATAATTTTCAGGCTTTTAGTCAATTGCACTCCCTGGCGAATCAAGGGGTGCAATGGGGTGCTATTTCTATTTAAGCATAATAAAGTATTGATAAACATTTATTGAAAGTACAACATTTGAAGTTTTTGTCGACTTTTAAATTATTTATTTTACACAAAGGTATATATTTTCTTTTTTCAAATAGAAAGCACAAAAATGACACAAAAAACAGAGGGTTTTTGAAATGCTATCAAAAGTGGATATCCTCTTAATTAAGTTTTTTGAAAGCGCACTGGATCAATGCGTAAGCACAAAAAATGTTTTGAAAACTCTCCAAAAAGATTTACAAAAACGGAAGCAGTGTGAGTGCAAAAAACTACAGAAACAAACATTTTTTATTCCGTTTCTGTGAGCAGTGTGAATGCAGAAAAGCAGGCATTTTCCTCTTTGTAGATGAGGCAGTGAATGGGGCCCTGTTTGCACGATACTGTTTTCATTTCATATCAATGGGTTTCATACTGGATTGGTCTTCTTTTTACACAAAAACTATCTAATCTGATATGGTTCAAAATGTTTTCGCCTTTCAAAATGAAAACGCTGTAATGTGGGATAAAATCAATCTGATACATCTCTTTTCTCATGTAAACAGTTTAATCCAATGCCACATGAAAATGCTGCTGTGCAGATACCATAAACAAAGGCAAACTCTCTGCAGTATAACGTTCTGGGCATTACAGCGTTCTCATATCAACAGAGCCCCAAATCGAAGACGAAATGAAAATGGTAACATTTAAGCAGGCAGAAATTGTGTGTCCAATCAGGAAACTAAATACTTAATGAAATGAAAACGTTACTGCTTGAAACAGATCCTAAGAATGTTTACTGTAAGGGGGTAACTCTGAGTGCCAAGGTGTGCATGTTTGATCGCACGCCTTTCCAAGGTTGACCTGTATTATATCATGTATAGAATTTTTATACCTTGCTTAAGCTTGTCAATAATGCTCAATTTGAGAAGCTTTTTGTATAAAATTAGACTGGAGATTTGAATTGTCTAAGGTTGAAATGTGCATAGGTTGAATGTTATCCATAATGTTTTCCATTGCTGGTGGTAGCTTATCAGACTCACAAGTTCTACTTGTAATTTTAATTTTTCCATGTTATTGGAATTTTGCCTCAGCAGCTGATATAGTTATTTATCCATTGATTCCAGGAAAACAATGAATTTTTTGTCATGACAAATATGATAATAACTCCAAACCAGACAAGAGGTAGATGCCCAGAAGATCCAAGATTTGAAGATGTTTATTGTCAGCGCGATTCAGATTGCAGAGAAGGGGAGGCAGTTGCCAATGGGAATGGTATGATATGCTTCTTTGTAAGCTGAGATCTGTATGAAATAATCCTATTTTGTTTATTATTTGGTAACAATTATCGTTATTTATATTGAAATCTCCTCAAAATCTCATTGGTTTAATCGGTAGAGGATTTTTATAATGTTGATAGCTTCTGTAGCCAATCAAGACAGACAGAAGAAGATTGGTCAACCTTAGAGTTGTAGGACGTGTTTTTCATCGCTCAGCAAGTTCTTCTAAGATCAACGATACTTACCAAAGAGATCTATCGAGATGAGTTGTAGTGATGAACTAATCACACATGCAATCAATTATATCAGAGAAAAATTAAAGAAGAGACCAGACAAATTCGCCATCACAAGTTTTGTGAACTCGAGGCATGGCCTAAATCACACCGACGTGGCTGACACTGTAGATCAACTCGAAGCCAAGGGAGTTATTTTCCGAAAGGTCAAGAAGAAGAGGCACTCATTCTTCATATCTGACTTGGATGAGGATGAAAACTCTTCTATAATGGAGAACGAGACTGAAGACAGTAATGTCGAAAGGAAAGAAGAGGAGAAACAGCGGGAAAGTGTTTTTGCACCCCGCCATGACAGCCCTCCCTCGACCATCATGGACTTCATTCGTGCCGAGCTTGAACAAAGGGAGCTACGTCTCGCAAACAAGATCATGGCCAATCTGGAAGGAAAATATCTGGAAAAGGCAAATAATGAGAAAGTGCTTATTGAAAGGTTAGAAAGGGAGGTGGATTTTCTCAAATCAGAAATTCAAAATAAGAACAATCTACTTTCAAGTTTGCTCACAAACATGGAAAATGGCAGGACTAACAATCGAAACGAAGACAAAGGTAGCGAATGCAAGAATAATGCAGGACCTTACACAGACAAAGGCAATGAATGGAGACAAATCATCCCCAAGAGAGCTGGAATCAGAAGAACAAGCAAGGAAAAGAGGCCATCTAGTGAATGCGACTGGCATGCAAGTTATGAGGATTTTCCACCGCTATCGAACAAATTTGACCTGCTGTCATCGTTGGAACTGAATGATACTGCTTCAGATCATTTTTGTACAGTAAAGTCTCCAGTAAAGTCACAAGAATCTAATAAAGTTACGGCAAGGAACAAAAGAGTTATTCGCAAAGATTTGGAAAGAATGCCATCAAGGCAAAAGGATCTCCATCGTGTTATTGATCAAGACCAACAGCCAAAACGAACCCAGGATTGTATTACTATCATCGGCGATTCCATGGTAAAAAATATTCAAGGATTCAAAATGAAGCAAGCAATCAAGAATGACCGAAATGTTTATGTTAAGTCATTCTCAGGAGCAACAGTGGATTGTATGAACAGTTACGTTTGCCCAACGATAAAAAAAAATCCGAAGACAATCATTCTTCACTGTGGTACGAACGATTTGAGAAGATCCCAACCTGCCTGCAACATCGCTAGAGACATCTTCGAACTAGCTAGAACATTGGAAACCAGGAGTAACTCGGTCCTGATTTCAGGGTTGGTACCCCGGGGCGACTCGTTAAATGGAAAAGCCACTGAGGTAAACAAGTTGCTGAAGCAAATATGTATAAGCAAGAACTTGAAATTCATTGACAATTCGAATATAGATCCAAGCATACACCTTAATCGTAGCAGGCTACATCTAAATGACCGTGGAAACACGCTTTTAGCTAACAATTTTATTTATAATCTAGGATACTGACTAGAAATCGAGGGGGTAAAACCATACAAAGAGCTTCCCATCGCCATAGAACCTGGGAAGCCTGATCTATCCAGCGCCAGTATTTGTAACGCCCCAGCAGTTACTGCTGGAACTACTGCGCATGACCTACATGACACCACCGACGACAGTGATGCAAAATCAGCATTACATAATCTGCGTTTAAAGAACATAGGTCGTATGACTATCGGGTATCTAAATATAAATTCCATTAGAAATAAATTTGATGCACTAAAAGCGATAGTTTCACAGAATCTTGACATTCTAATGGTCGCCGAAACAAAAATTGATGATTCATTCCCAAAGGGACAATTCTATATTGAAGGTTATGCTGATCCACTACGGCTTGACAGAAATTGTGAGGGTGGCGGTCTGTTGGTCTATGTGAAAAGTGACATCACAATGAAGCAGTTAAAGTCATTTAAATTTGATCTTGACATTGAATGTATTTGTTTTGAAATCAATTTAAGGGGGAATAAGTGGGCTCTTTTCAGTGTTTACAGACCACCGTCCCAATCACAAGAACACTTTTTCGAAAATCTTGGCAAAGCAGTTGATCATTACAGTGAAAAATATGACAAATTTTTATTACTTGGGGATTTTAATACAGTAGAGACAGGTCAACAGATTCGTACTTTTATGAATAGTTATGACCTCAGAAATCTGGTGAAGGAGCCAACCTGTTTCAAGGCTGACAATCTACGGTGTATTGACCTAATCTTAACCAACAGATAGAGGAGCTTCCAACATACCACCACTACCGAGACAGGTCTCTCTGACTTTCACAAAATGATAGTCACAGTTTTGAAAACGACGTACCAAAAGGCTGGACCTACTGTTATTAACTATAGAGAATATAAGAAATTTTCGGAGCAGACTTTCAAACGAGAACTTAAGGAAGAGTTGGCTAGCATTAAAACAACTGATTTAGACTACAGTTCTTTTCAAAATTGCTTTGAGAAGGTACTTGATAAGCATGCACCGATGAAGAAAAAATACGCAAGGGCCAATGATGGTCCCTTCATGAATCTAGTTCTTCGTAAAGCTACTATGCTGCGCTCTAGGTTGAAAAATAGATATAATAAAAGCCGCACAGCTGAACATTGGGAAGCGTTTCGTCGACAGCGTAATTTGTGTGTCAAATTATTTAGAACGGAAAAAAGAAATTTCTATAAAAATTTGAATACTTCTGATATTACAGACAACAAGAAATTTTGGAAAACTGTAAAACCTGTCCTTTCCGATAAAAGTCGATCGAACTCAAATATTACCCTTATCGATAATAATAGGATGATTTCCAATGATAAGGAAGTTGCAGAAGCCATGAACGATTATTTTATATCGATAACTGACTCATTAGGTCTGACAGGGAACAGGGAGGTTACCATAAGTACAGATGGTTTATCAGATCCTATAGAAAAGGCTATAATGAAATATTCAAAACACCCTAGCATTAGGAAAATTCGCAGTTTTGCTCGAATTAAAGGCTACTTTAAATTCCAAGAGGTTACTGTGGAACAGATACACTGAAATTGAGGGGCTTAATCCTAAAAAGGCAACAACCTTTGGAAATATACCCGCGAGAGTGCTGAAAAATAGCTCTGACATTTGTTCCGAATCGTTGCAGCTTATTTTCAATAACTGCATTCAAAATGGTGTCTTTCCCGACCTATTAAAACTAGCAGATGTCACTTCCCTCCACAAATCGGAGGAGAAAACCAATAAGAAAAATTACAGACCGGTTAGTGTATTACCAACTGTTTCAAAGGTTTTTGAGAGACTTATGGATAAACAGATTATTGATTATATGCAATCTTATTTATCGTCACTTTTATGTGGTTTTCGTAAAGGGTACAATGTGCAGCACGCATTAATTCGAATGCTTGAAAAATGGAAAGCAAGCTTAGACAGGGGAGAAAATGTTGGCGCAATCCTTATGATCTCTCGAAAGCCTTTGATTGTATTAAACATGACCTCCTTATAGCAAAACTAGATGCTTACGGATTCAGCCATGAAGCACTGTGTCTTGTTAACAGCTACTTGGAAAATAGGCATCAGAGAGTTAAGATTAATGGATCATTCAGTACCTACAAACAACTGTTCCTTGGTGTTCCGCAAGGATCAGTTCTTGGTCCCCTCTTCTTTAACATCTACATAAATGACTTACTTCTCTCCTTAATGGATACGGATATCTGCAATTACGCGGATGATACAACTCTATATGCGTGCGATAAAAATCTCAATAATGTAATTGCAAGGCTAGAGAATGACTCAAGTATAACTATCCAATGGTTCGCTGATAACTTTATGAAGTTGAATACAAACAAATGTCATTTACTTATTCTTGGCAAAAGTTCTAATCAACAGGTTAAAGTTAATGTAGGAGATTCTATCATAGAAAACTCGGAAGAGGAAAAGCTACTAGGTGTTGTGATAGACAAAAAACTCAGTTTTGAGACACATATCAGTAAAGTATGTAAGAAGGCTGGTAGCAAACTCACCGCCCTCGCTCGCATATCTGGATACATGGACGCTAATAAACTTAAAATCTTAATGAGAGCATTTGTAATTAGCCAATTCGAATATTGTCCACTAGTCTGGATGTTCCACAGTAGGCACTTGAATAGTAAGATTAATAGAATACACGAAAGAGCTCTGAGAATTGCATACAAAGACTATGATTCTAGCTTCAACACTCTGCTAGAAAATGATGGCTCGGTAAATATTCATGTAAAACACCTGCGAAATCTTATGATTGAAATGTTTAAAACAAAGGGAAATATCAACCCTCCTTTTATGAGGGAGATTTTCTGCGAGCGTCATGCTGTTTATAATTTGAGAAATAATAATGAATTTATGGCACCAAGAGTAAGAACAACCATTTATGGAACCGAAACTATCAAATATAGAGGGCAGCGTCTTTGGCTCTCTTTACCTCAGCACATAAGGAATGCTCAATCTATTAATGAGTTTAAGAAAGAAATTAAAAGCTGGAATGGCACAGACTGTACATGCAAACTATGTAGGACGTTCGTGCCACAGCTTGGTTTTTTGTAATTCTATCTTTTAAATAGCTCAGGTTTTTATAGTTTTTTAATGGATCATTTTGTATTTAAAATTTTATGTATTTAATCTCGTATGTATTTAGTTGATGTAGTAGTTTTAACAGTTGGCTTGGATTAGCTCATTTCTTTGTAAATAGCTATGTAGCGCCAACTTTAAATAAATTGATTATTATTATTATTATTATTATAAGATTTGACATTTATATTTAGATCCAGACAGAACATTACAACGTATGGGTACAAAATGGGGTATTTTTATGCTAACTTGTTTATGGAAGATCTTGAAACAGACATGCTACAAAATTTGAGCTTTAATGTGCATTGCGTTGTTTCTTGCTTTCTTTATTTTGTCTATTTTGTTTGAAGCATTCTTTTGGAGACTGTAGAGTGGTTTTGCTACAGCTACAGCAGCCTTCCCATTATTTCCATTTTGAATCTTCCTCGCTGGTGAACTAGAATAATTCTGAATGCATGCAATAATAGAATAATATTATTATGATTATTTCGCATCCATGATGGAAACTTGACTGTGCGAAAAAGAAATTTTGGAATTTGTTACTAGCTACAGTTTTTAACGAATTATGCTTGATGATGAATAAAATTGGAAGATGGTATCTATATTTCTGATATTTTTATTAATACACAGGAGGTATATATAGTAGATATTTTTTCTCATCACATAGGTGTAAAAACTGGGAAGTGTGTGCAGTCAGATCAAAATATAACTGCCTATGTTTGTCAGATCTATGGCTGGTGCCCTGTTGAACTTGACGTTCTTCCAATGCCTGGTCATGGCTTCAAGTAATTATCTCTAACTCTTTTCTGTTTATTTTTTTGTTTTAATTGCACTAAGCATGTAACCTTTCATTTTGCGTGTCTATCTAGGGCCCTAGGGCCATCTCGACTCCCATTTATAATATCATGGTTATCTTTTGAGAAACCGCTATAGCATGCCAGCTTACCTTGCGAAGGGAATTTAATCAATAATGAGTTTTAAAGTCTGCTGCCATAAGTTAATGAAAGTTACCATTTCACTGGTCTGTCATATATTGCTCGATGCCGTATAGGCAGAGCTGGATGCAATTTGTATAGAAAGGACAGTAATAAGTTGCAAATTTAACGCTTTATGCGATCATCAGGCAATTGTTATGAGCTTGTCCTGCATTATTACTCAAATTTGTAGTTGATTTACATTCGACTGGCAATGATACTCGTTTAGGCCTTAACATACCTGGTCGTAATTAGTTAAGATTTTGTTTTCTGGTCTGTCATATATTGCTTGAAGTCGTTTAGGCAGAGTTGTACACGCTTCTTTTAAACTCAAATATTCAGTCATTTGAGATGCAGAATTTGCTCTATTTATTTTTGAAATAAAGATCATACAAACCATATTCATGTAATAAATTGCAATTCTTGAGAATTTTTGTACCACAGTGTCACAATTGTCACAAAAATTTTTGTTCTGTAAATACATTTTCTGTGTTCGTTTTTTAGAAAAGGAGATCCACTGCTTCAATCAGCAGTAAATTTTACCGTATTAATAAAGAATCAAGTGACATTTCCAAAGTTTGGATTTGCAAGGTGATTTTACCGTATGATGCTAATGATGCTCGTAGCAATGATCTATACATGCTTAAACTATCACTTTAGATAAATCTACTTTTGGAAGCAAAGTTAACACAATCTCATCGATTAGACAAGCTTTATGTATGAAAGGTCTTGTGTTTCGAAAAGACAGTTTAGGTCTGTATTAATTTGACAGTATTCTGTTTTATAGATGGGTTTGATAAAGATGAATGTATATAGAAATGTTAGTGATAATTCCTATTAAATCAGTTTAAAGCTTTCTAGAAATTTCATTCAAGGCTTTATTGATAGAAGAGGGATGATCTTTGAGCTAACTATATGACTCGTCTAAATTACTCATTAACATCTAAATCTTTTCAGGTTCTAATCAGATGAGGCTTGAAAATGACATGATGATGTTTTTCCGCATATTCTCTGATCTTATTTTTGCGTTCCGCAGGAGAAATATAATAAGCCAGAACAACACAACATACTTAAAAAGCTGCAATTATCATCATGAAAGTGATCCGTTTTGTCCGATTTTCAAGCTCGGTACAATTGTAAGCGATGCTGGATATGATTTCAATGATATTGCTTACAAGGTGATGATATTTTTTATGTGTTTTAGAATAAATCTAATCGGGCCACAGAATCGTAAGCTGCGCCCCCTTCTTGAATGAGAAATAGTTGAAAACTGATGGACCCAAAGGCCCAATTGTAGCAAAATTCTTAAAATCTTTTGCCTACCTATGTATAAAGATTTGGTCTTAACTGTTGCAATATTTCCTTTCTCTAAGTTCTCTACAGTCTATTCTTGTTTAACAGCATTTCTTTTTGTTACTTTGTTAAACAGGGAGGCATAGTTGCTATTCAAATAAAATGGGAATGTAACCTGGATGTAAGTGAGGATAAGTGCCGACCACAGTATTCCTTCAAGAGGTGAGTTACCTAGACTTACTCCATAAGCCTCTGTTTCGCTACTGCCTCACTTGACGGACGCTGAATCTATAAGTTACCCACAAAAAAACTTCTGAACAACTTCAATCTAGTTATTACAGATCTTTTGCCATGAGTTGAAGTTATAAAACGACCTTTTCTTAACATCTTCAATCTAGTTTAACGATTTTCAAGAGCTATTACTGTTCTGTTTGCTGTGGATTGAATTTGACAAAGCCACAATTTTACTGAAATAGATTTTGCGATTTTTTTGTAAATATATACTAGATATAAGCCTTCATTTGGTCTGTATACAAATTTTTAGAATATAATATAATTATCAAGAAAGCAGTGAATAATTATTTCTGTTGCAAAAGATGTAATTATACTACGTACTTCATCCAATGATCAAACTTTTAGTTTTACCTTGTCAAAAGTTAAATGAGTCAACATTTCTTTTGATTCAGATGCTGATTTCATGCATATCGTAGTTATGTTTTTGATAATTGTTGTTCTAATTTAATAAGAGATGAGGGCGTTTTGTATATCGCTATGGCTGTTTTTCTGCTCATATATTTATTTATGTTTTTGAAAGTAAGAAATGTAGGCATAGATTTCAATTTAAGGTTTTGTCATGAAACTTTAAGTGTTGGGAAGAAGGGTTTGTGTTGGAAAAGACTCGCATTTCATAACTGAAAGATTTTTATAAAATGATTAGTATTATGCATAATCAAACCACCCATTTCTATTTCTATTTCATCTCACATTAAACTTCACATTCGTCAGCATCACACGCGAGTTTATATGCCAAAATACATGATCAGAACAATTGATCAAAAGCATATTGTTTGGAACAAAAGAATTAAATCCCAATCCCAGGACTGCGATCCTTCCAACACTGAGTCATCTTTCACGATCTTTTGTATGTTTTTTTCCTTAGATAACTTTTAGGTAGAAACAAGTATATTACTCCGAGCTATTATCTTAGGGCTTGTATGTTCCTTTTGTTTAACTGTTGGCTTCAAGCTTAGATTTGCTTCAAAGTTGATCCTATTTTGTGTTTTTACAATCGGTAACCTCAAAGGATCGGTGTTAATCTCGCAATTAATGTTAACATTATCCAAAATTGGCTTTCAGGATAGACGACCCACATGCACCAATAGCATCCGGGTTTAATTTCAGGTATGCGATATCACCTGTAACATTTCCATACATTTATCGAATTTTTTTTTCACATGCTTAATTCAACTAAATACAGGAAACTAACCAGCCTTATCCTAATTGTAAGACTCCTTCTTCCTAAACCCTCTTTGAAATGCCCTGCATATCTGTTATTATATTCTGGTCTGAAATCTATTAGATCTGTTCCCATTAAACCTTTTCTGTCTTTTGGAATTCATGGTTGACTTGTAGCGCAGACACGGGTTATTTGGTGATATGTATTGCGACGTCTTTCTAAAACAGAAAATTCACATATTCGGTTTGATTCGAAAGTAGAAAAAAATGATATTCAAAGTATTCTAAGCATTCGTTTCTTTAGGACTGAAACAAGTTTTGCCTCATTGAGAACCTGGTAGTTCATTATTAATTAAGTACTGGGTATTATTGTATGCTTTTGGTCCTTTAAACTGAAATTAAATGTTTTTCGCAGATTTTATATAATGTATATTCTGCAAACATCACTGTAATTTTGTATTATATACCTGATATTAAACATTTTCTTTCTAGAGCAAAAAAGATGAGCTCTATTTTCTGAAAAGGCCATAAACTGATTAAGACTCCATAAGATTTCTAATATAGCTAATCATCCTGAACGTTCGTGGAACTTAACGTATCTTGTCGTTTCTTATCGTATCTTCTGGTATCTTATCGCAGCTTTTCGTATTCTGTCTCATAGATTCGCTCAGTACTACGTGGAAAATAACAAGCAGCATCGAATTCTATATAAAGCCTACGGAATTAAATTCGAAGTGCTCGTAAACGGTAGGGTAAGTGGCACAAGAAGATTAATTCATTTGGTTTAAAATGATTTTGTTTAACTATTGACGAGAGAAGAACTGATCGGCTACGGTGGTAACAATTTTGTCGTACCACGATTATAGAGTGGGATGTAGCATGGATGCGACATGCTGTTTGAAAAAAATTTAGCATGAAAAACAAAGCACTATTTCACTAAAAAAATGGCTTTAAAAAAAAATTTTGAGTCGTACTAAAGCATTTCATCGGAGACTCTTCAGAGTATAAAGCATCAGAACATAGATCGAAAACTCTACGTTAGGAAATATATATACCCAGTTGTGGATCGAAATAGGCCAATCAGAAACGTGAGCACATGACTGTTGAGGTTGCCGAATCAGTGCAGCTTGCCAAGTTCGTTTTAACCTTGTTATGCCAATGGAGTCCCAAGGTGAAAACGAACTCCTTCTGTCTACACAATATAGCTTTTTCATGATTATTCAGATAGATTCCAAAACCGCTAAATAGAACGACGATCGGGCTATGCCAATAATCTGAAACGTGTTGACATAATAGGTTTTTGCACAATCTGGGTTTTCCAGTAAATGCTGCCCGATAGAAGAATCGCAGGCTTTAATTGTACTGTTAGATCTGCAAGACCGAGGGGGCTGTTCCTTTTGAGGAGGGTTTTTATGGTGGAAGGAAGATGCTGTTTTATTTGATCCCCCATAGACAAAAACAGTTTCGGGGACATTATACTGGAGCATATAGATATGCATTGCATTAATCAGTAGTTGTCGAAATCAGTAGTTGTCGAAATGGGAATGTTCTGTTCTGTTTTGTCAGAAAACATTTATTTCTTGCGTTAGCCTATAATATTATTGAATAAGAGTACAAAAACAAGCGCTGAAAATTAAGATCATGGAGATTAAACATTGAAGACAATGGCTTGGCCAATTGATTGCTGCTTCAGCTAGAACAAAATGAGGACAATTGGATGTTAATTTTTGTAAACTGTATGCTGATGGACATTCTAAGGCGAATATACATAATTGTGAGACAGCTTCAACCTTCCAATCACAATCTTATCACAGCGCTGTCTGTAATAGAGAAGTGAGAGAAGACCTCAAGGAACGATGTGTAAACTGGATTGAGTTCTGATGTTCCATGCGCGACATTGGTTGCTGATTCAGCAAAAGCAATCAAATGCACTGAGGTCGGCAACGTTCAGCAAAGAAGAGCCCTTGTTCCCAAGCAATTTGATGGTTTTGTTAGTACCAAGCCGAGCAGTCTCCGTCAGTGAGTCACAAAGCTTCAAGAATCGTCGCAGCTGAATGAGGTGGAATTCAACAGAAGGTTTGCATCAGTCAACACAGCTTTACGAGAGACTAGGAAGCTTTTTCGCTTCGTTTATCTTATTTTCTAGAATACGAGACTCTCATCCATATGCAGCAAAAAGTTTCAAATGACATTAACAAGGTTAGATTCCCCTCAGCGAAGATCTTAGCGGACCGAGAGTGCGAGTGCAATTGTGCATGCCTGGCGTTTGAAAATAAGATCTTGATGGAAGACATAACATTTGAAAATGTTCTAGCTGATTAGGAAAGAGAGAGAAACTTGTTTGATTGCTGAAGACATTCTAAAACTTTTTTGCGTCTTTTTTCCACTAACTCTCTAACCCACTCCTAAAGAAGACTTCACCTTGAACATCGCCTGCGTTGGACATTGGGAGTTTGCCTCCCCTACTCCACCGGCCTGGCTACGGGTTTGCAGCCAATCGCTGCCTATTCTACTCTCCCCGTCAGCAATAAGTCATTTTGAAAATATTTTTAAAGCCCTATTACTCCAACACCTCGTGAACTAACGAATTTTCTTCATTGTTTTTTGAGTCCTCATTCGAATAGAATATGAAAGGATAAGATGCAAATTTTTAAGCAACAGTGTCAACCATAATCAATCCAGGGCTGGTCATTCAAGGGGCTTTATTTCTTGGTGATTTTATTTTAGTTCCACCAAACGTCTATTTGAAGCTACCTCTTTTAACGAGAAATGATGGTTTACTGCCTTAGACAGATTACTTCTCAAACTCTGGAGTTCAGATTTCATCTGAACTTATGGTTTTTTTCAAATCCTCCCATGAAATCCGTTTTGCATACTTTCTGGTAAGAGCAACTTCTAAGCTTGTTACTTCAAGATGCCGCAAACTGCTTAGTTGTCAATGAGGCCATAATAGACCAGGCTGTGGTTACGACAAGCACCACCCGAGCCCGGAGACATTGTGATGGGCATTTTCAGTTAGCTATAGACCTGGGTGTTCAGAATCGCGTTAGTAAACGGGAATCTACTGGTGCGTCTTGGAGCGGGGTGGCTTTTCTTCTTTGCCTCTTTGACCTAGTGCCTAAAGGAGGAGTTTTTTGATAATTTTTTGCTTCGTTGAGTCTATTATTTCCTATTCTTGCTTAAAGTTCCTTTGCATCTTAAGGAGCCGGGCAGAAAATGTATACAAATGTTCTTAACCTGTACATCGGAAAGATCATGTCCCACCTATTTGAATATCGTGGTTTGTGCTAACTTTGCGCCTCTCCTCCATTTCGATTTTCATTCGACACATCTGGCTCCCCGGGTACGCAAAGTTCTGCATGCAAGTTGGACCAACGTAAGAGCTAGCCTCGCCTCTTTTAATACAACTTGCTGGCAGCGAAACCTTGTATGGATTGCACAGCCTGCAGCTCAAAATTGATCCAATTTCCGGTTTTCCGGTATAATTAAAGTATGATTAAACATTTTAAGGAGTCTGTAAGCCAGTTGTGTATCAATAGCTTCTCCTTGTAATGGATTTTCTAGAACAAAATTCCTTATGTAATGGATTTTCTTTATTTATATAGATTCACGAAAATGACACTAATTCTTATTATTTAGAAATTTTACCTTTTCGAATGCTACAGTTTTATTGTGTTAAGGAACGTATTTTTTCAAATTAGCATTCATGATAATTACTGTTTAAAGCCAACTTTATGTTTGAAGACATGAATGTTAACTAGTTTTATGTTTTTTTCAGGCAGGCAAGTTCAGCCCTGTACCACTTTTTCTCAATCTTGGTTCTGGTCTTGCCCTTCTTAGCATTGTAAGTTTGACACTCATTTTTACTAAATTATTCTAGTCACTCAGGGGCTTAGCCAGCGGGGATGTGGGTTATGTGACACCTCCAGTTTATCATGAATTGGTTGATATATCTTCAGTTTGCTCACAAAATCGTCATTTGGTTGGTAAAATTGCCTGTTTTATTGGAAATTATTCATTTTAAAATAGAATAAAGTCGTTAAAAGTAATTTGCGGGTCGATATTGTTTGGAACACAAAACCACAGTCTTTATTATTGCGTTGACTTGAGTAGAGAGGCTTTTGAAGGGTAAATTGGTTTCCTCAGTTGAAATGCTTAGCTATTATAAGCCCAAAATATTAGTTCAAACTGAAATCATCATCATCAGGTACCTTCTTCTATCAGAAGGTTGGCTACCATGACCCTCCAACTATCCCTATCCTCAGAATATCAAAATCTGAGTTTTGGTTTGTTGTCATGGTCATAGATAAAACTAAGGGGCTAATAGTAGAGATGGGCCCCCAGAACCACCTCTACAGTGTTTTTTAAAGGGACACCATCCCTCTTTTCAGGAGTTCTTCCGTCCAAAGCCGTTGACCCCTGGAGTTGTAGCTCATCCGCCCTCCTTGCCGGTCTCCCGCCGAGTTAGCCGTTGGCCATTGCTCGTAGCCCTGAGCTAGGGAACCCTGCCAGGTGGTACCAGTCGGGTAAGGCTGGACCTGTAAGCTAGTGGAGAAAAGGGACGCTTTTATTCCCCATTCATGTCCTGTCGAAGCATGCCAAACAGAAATAAAGTTTCGAAAATCTGGTTTATGGAGAAAGGGTTACATTGAGCAGAATAATTTGAGATAATCTTATGCACTCTTTGTGATTAGGTTCCTTCTTCACTTCTTGTTTACTTTGTGAAACTGATGTGCACAAAGGATCATTACTTCACAACTATTCAAGTTTGAGGTTTCCTCAATCGGGCCACTTCTATGAAAACCTAAACCTCCTTTTTGATTAATTGTATTAAACAAGCACCTATACCCTGACCAAAGCCAGCTAGAAAGAAGTCCGACTAATTCGCTCTATTTCACCAAAATATCACAAAAATTGCAGATAGTTTGCTGCTGCGGTTTTATGGTATGGTGCTGAGACAATCTGGTGAGGCACGGCGATTAGCTATTTGCCTTATGAAAATGCCAGCAGCAAAATGAATTTGGCTATAGAGGATTTAAGCAGTTTTTATCTATATGAAAGGGCTATGCTTCTGGCTTAAGCTAAATTCACACTGGACGCGTCGCGGCGCATCACTGAGCGTCATCGAGCGTCGTGTTATGTACTTTTTCATACTTATGTACTTTCACACACGATGCGTCATCGAGCGGCGCGTTTTCTGTCTTCCAATGCAGTTCACAACAAACTTGCAAAATTCTCGATAAGTTGTACTGTATTCCTTGCATTGCAAAATCAAGCTGGACATTCAAGTTTGCTACAGAAACGGATGAAACGGTAATCTGAAGCTAATATATCAAAAACAGCATCTTGGCCAAAAATGAGGTATGATATGTACAGGGGCGGACACTTGGTCAATTATTGGGGGAGCAAGCCTATTGTTTTAATAAGATGACGTCATGTTTCCCATTGTTTTCGAACAAAAGACCATTGTCCTGTAAAGTATTGGGGGGGGGCCGTCGCCCCCCCTCGCCCCCCCAAGTGTCCGCCACTGGATATGTACTTCAATTAGTTTCGTGCGGTTTCTTCGACATTTTGGTTCGAGAGGTTGGCCAATGTTTTGACAGGAAAATGATTCTCTTCAAGCATTCATTAAGGCCCCGTTCACACGGGAACGCAATCGTTCCGTTCCGTTCTTTTCCGTTCTGAAAAGCGGAACGCTCAGGGGTTGTGTTCACACGGGAACGCTTCAAATGACATCGTTCCGTTCCAAAAAGTGGAACGATAAAATATGTGATACGAAAAGTGGAACGGTACGCAATCGTTCCGTTCCGTTCCCGTGTGAACGCGCAGAACTGGTCCAGAAAATGGAACGATAAGAGTTTTGGCGCATGCGTCTGTGTTGTTGTTGAGGGAAGGAAAAGGTGACAATAATAAACTCAGCGAAGAAAATGGAGGATTTCAAAAACACCATTGGCTGAATCTCGCCGTTAGTCCATTTAAAAGATTCAACACCATTCTGCAAACATTGAAATTCCTTTCTTTTAGAGTTGGCTTCAATTTCCCCACGAGTATGCTTATTTTTGGGCGCTTTTGTATTCTCCATTTATTCAAATTGTTAAAAAAATTCAGAGATAGCTCAGAGATAAATCGAAATGATGAAATCTATCTCCATTAAGCCCAATCTCCAGTGAGAAAAAGTCTTGCGAAATTTCGCTGCGAAATACTTCACGCGACAAATTCCTTTGAATGCTTTTGTTGACCTCACGACATTGGAATGTAAAGTTTGGAAGCGTGACAAAGGAATACGGAATATGATTGGCTGTTGAAGGATTTCGCAAGCGAAAAGCGAAAAAAGTTAAACTCATTTTAACTTTTTTTCGCAGAGAAATTCTTCGCGAGAAATCCCAGCAAAAGATTACTACGCATGCCTAAGACGTATTTCGCGCGAACTTTTTCGCATTTCGCAGTTTTTTTTCTCACTGGAGATTGGGCTTTATGGACATGCGCATTAAAAATCATTCGCTTATTTTGGCGCGCAAAATGCAGAACGGAACGATTGCGTTCCCGTCTGAACATAAACAAAAATCGATACGCAATCGTTCCGTTACCGTGTGAACAGTATACCTTTTCATTCCAGAAACTGGAACAAAAATGGAACGGAACGATTGCGTTCCCGTGTGAACGGGGCCTAAAGATCCGAAATTTTTACATGGATTAACTTTGATGCTCGGTGACGCGTGGCTGAAAAAATGCGCTTCGTGCGCATAGCTGCCGAAAATGCTAACCATATTTGGTCAGCGTCATGACGCGCCGCGCCGTGACGCGTCCAGTGTGAATTCAGCTTTACGTGCCATGTTTAGAAATGATAACAGCCCCACTCGAAAAGTTCAGAGGGGGTGGGAGGGGGCCCATGGTTTCATGAACGTATGTACTTCACTACAACACTAAGCATTAACCTTCTCCCAGAAGCAATCATTTATACCACAAGATGTACACAGCAATAAGTAATAGGGTGCCTAGCAAAAAACAAAGTTTGAAACCTGTGACTCCAAGAAATATTGTGATAAAGATGCGTTTAAACTTCAGTGTTTTAGCAGAAAACTTGATTATTGTCACCGTATGCACGAGTAAGGGTTTAAGCCTGAGATGGAGCGAGTGACCTACTTTTCTGACAGTTTGATGTTTTTATTCATTCTTTCATGAAAGCGTTTAAACTTTTCTTATGAGAATCTCTTGTAACAAATCGCAACCAACACGTCTATATCCTGTTTATATTTAAATTGCTTTAGAACTCTTGCACTCTAAAGTGCTTTGATTTTTTATCATACTGTGGAAAATTATAGTCATTTCATCCAATGTTGGCGTATACCTAACACATATATTTGTTAATGAACATTGTCTCTAAATATAATGCTCCAACTTTTTTATTTAAGTTATGGATTGAAAAGATAGCAGGTCACTCCTTGACATTTTTTCTTTCTAGGCAACAATTTGGTGCGATATCATCGTTCTGTATTGTCTTAAAGATAGACAAGTGTATAGAAGTCACAAATATCACAAAGTAGTGGATGGAGATGAGCCGGTAAATATCAAGTCTTATATATAAATATCAATCTTTTTCTTTCCCAATGCCATTTTATCAACTTATTTTCCAATGCATTGCTTAATAAAAGCTTAAGTATGCTCTAGTGCTTAAGTATTATTAAGTAAAATGTTGAAGATTTGTTCTAGCAATTATCGCTTTTTTGTTTATTCAACCACTAGCATGCTCTATTCATTCTTTGACTTTCATTTGCGTCATGAAGACTGGTTTTTTCATCAACATATTTTTGATAATTTTCTTTATTCAAAGTACTTTTAATGATAAGGACAATAATTGAAATTATCATTAAATGGGAAGTATCCAGACATTATGATTCTATTTTAGACTGACACTGATGATGATGGCGATCTAAACAAAGGCGCGAATGTTAGTGAGTTTGCATACCAAAAAGTTGAAGATGAAAATGATCCCGACTAAAAAAACAGGTAAATTTTTTGCAAATCACACGTCTTGATTAGGCCAATCATCAGTAGGATGTTAACTGGAATCCCGCTGATGTAATTTCAATTCGCCTGATTACAGAAAAAGACTATGTTTTAAGTATTAAATCTCTGTCCAAGTTTTTCAACCCTTGTTGAACTTGCTGTTTAGCTATAATTGTTTAGCTATTCAGAAGTGGGAGGAGAGCTGCTCTTCCTATACTGCTATTTTCTACCCTTATCTGAGAAGTAAGCCAGAGATGGAAAAGCTTTCGTTATTTATTTTATAAAATACTTGATCAATAATTTTCAATGATCGATAATTTCAATGACGTCATCAATGACATCATCATCATCAAAGTTGTCACCCTTTGTTAAGGCTACAATGAAAGCTGGTTATTTTCTTATCTAGTTTACGTCTTTAAAGTGCTATAGAACAGGGTGATGTCATGTTGCACTCGTCCAATTCTCGTGTCCTGTATTCAAGAGACCAAGAACGTACAGATTGAAAATAACAGCTGTTTTTAGTCACAGTCCTTTTTTGCAATGATTATTTCTCTTGAGCAACATTTGATGTCATCAGATGATATCGTTTGAAAACGAGGCCTCCAGTTCAGATCCCAGGCCAGACAAATAAAAGTCTTTCAAATAGGTCAAGTCCAGTTTTTGTGTCTCCTTGAATTTAACGACAGTTTTTCCTTGTAATTCTTTAACTAAGTGTTTTGGATAAAAGATGAAATGGTTGGCTTAGAATCAACAAGGAATTTGTGGTCATACTTGTGACTCAGACAGATTTTATCATAAAATCTGTTGTCAAAACCACGTCTTCAATTAAATGGAGCTGTTTTTGTCAAAACCTTTTCAACTTCAACATCTGCACAAGCAATAGCCTTAAAGCGAAATTAGCTCGCGTCCTTTCCTCGTGTTCGTATAAGAATCTCGTCGCTTCTGGTAGCTATGGCTTGCGTTGCCTTTACAGGTGGATGCAAGTCAGTTAAGTTTTATGACACAGTCGTGGAAAATGATTCTGTCGAGACATTACAAGTCAAATCAGTCTTGTTCAAGTGTTTAAAACACCGTTGCCTGCTACAACCCGTTTGTGAAAAGTTCCCACAGTAACAAAAGCCAGTTTTTTCTAAGCATGAGATGTATGGTTTATTTCATTTTTTTTATGTGGGAAGGAACAGTCACAGTTGCATTCATTTGGCATCAATGCTATCGATTTTCATCGCATAAACCGGATTTTAAAAGTTGGATATTTGCTTAATGACCTTTCTAAGGCCCCCTGTGAAAGTAGCATCACATTAGTCTGACTTTCACGAAAAAAGCCAATATATTACTACAGAACACTACGTCAATGGCTCTCTTAAGATACTGCAGTGGCATAAATTATATTAGCAACTTTGTTCACGTGATTATGTATCTATATTTTTTATACTGTATTTGATAGCATAGAATATTTACTTTGTTGTGAATGAAATGATTATGGAATGTCAGATTTTCGGTTTTTCATGCATGCATTTAAGTTGGACAAATTTTGAAGAGAACCGATTTAGGCGAATTTGACTGTGTGTTGAAAGTATTTCCTTGTTGAAATTCAAGAAAGTTGTCCTATTGGGTCGCTTTGGAAATGCCCTACTGTAAAAGAAGCATAACTTTGTCAGCACTTAGTTATAACTGTGTCCCACACCCCCCCCCCTTCCATTTTTTGCTAATGGTTGTTCTTTTCATCGTTCTGGAGACATTGAAACCGTCTTGATTGAATTGAAACCGCAAACTGAGAGAGAAAGAGCTATTGTCTGACGTAGAGCCAGGACTGTTTGTTGAAGGGCAGTTGTTGTTGTCTCGAGGTTATTTCTAAAGGGCATACTTGTAGGAAAAAGATGTTTCATGAGATAATTTGTTATAATGCTAAGAGGTGTCTTTTTGGAGGTTACATTCAATACCACTGCCTCCAGAACAAGTAGATTAGGTGTTTTGCAGCATACACATGACAATTGAATAAGAATAAGAAAAGGAGAAGTTTTACCATCTGACCAGTTAATTATCTTTGATGAAACCACTTGAGTTAAAATTGGATTATCAAGAAGATTCTACCTAATTTAATGAAAAGCTTCAACCACCTGGTGGCCTGTCAAGGTCTTATGTGTTGGTTATGCCTACTTCACAGCCGATAGGAACAACCTACTCATGCCACATTCAATAATTTATGATAAAAAACCTAACTGAGTGGGACGATGACCCTGCACTGTTTTTGCATAGAACCGGTGCCAATTGCTCATTCAAAAGAAATTTTTTTGACAGTAATCCTAAAGTCGCCTTTATAAAAATTGGCCTTTTTAAGAGAATCACATTTTTCATACGCATTTCATAATAGGGAACAAGATTTTCAAAGGATGAATGCAGCAGTTTGCTGTCTAGAAGTGACATGTGTAAGAAACATTGATGTGCTTTGGTCTGGTAACCCTAGAAACTGGAATATTGCTCGTATTCTGTTGCCTGGATACCTGTTTGTTCGTGAACAATATCTTGCGTAATGTTATTGATATTATCTAGTAAAATATTGCACTTTATTGATAAAGTTTTACGATATCACCACTTGTATATTGGACTAGAATCACCACTTCAATAATATTTTCCTAAGCGTTGCAGACAGAAATTTGTATTAATCTTTATTGTAAACATTATGCACAGAACTAATATTTTAAATGTACTAATTTTAGTGGCATGCAATTTTTGCGAGAAATCTTTAAAAATTTTGACAAAAGATGTAATTGATATATGAAAGTTGAAATGTAACGATTTAAGCCAGCGCTATTGATAAACATTATATTAATTAACAAATTACAATACCAAATCATTTTAAATTTAATTATTTTTTTACGAATGAGATGAATATAATGAATTAAAACAACATTTAAGTAAAATATGATGATCAAATACAACTATCAAAAATCGTCTTCTCTTCTGGTCAGTCTAGTTGTGATAAGCAGAGTAGACAGAATCATAATTGGCCCGTTATATCCCAGGACCCTAGCATTTGATTGAAACTCTATCACAGAATAGGAAATAGGCAGAAGGGTAACTCTCGTCGGTTCCTTTGTTGTTTTTGAAGCCTGAGTCAACAATAGAATTCCTAAATTCCCCTTTAACCTTGATTTCATTAGACAAACTTAGCCATGACAAGTTATCATTAATTAATCAGATATAAACAAAATATGATACATAATTGAATTTTTTCACCATCATGGCGCATTTCGTCTCAAATAAAGTTGTCTACTTTCATTCTTTTTTTAAAATTTCCTCGACAGATACATGCTAAGCCTCGTAAAAGTTAACGCATGCGCAAGATTTTTCAGGCTTCACCCGATAGGCAGGAGTTCCCCCTCTGCCTATTTCCTATTCTGTGACTCTGTTTTCCATTCTTTGTCTGCACTGTTTTCATTGTCTTTTTGTGGGCAACAATTTGTGTTGCACGATATAAATACCACACCAACTCGACAGGTATCTTAAAAATGTTCCAAAAAGAAAATACAATGATTTGATAACAAAGTTGCAATGATAGCTTGACAAAGGGACATGGGAACAACTGAGAAATGACGTCACTAAAATCTCATCCTGAGCAGTGGAAACCTCATCCCAACGCTTGATGTGTTTCAAAGCAATGCTCGGCTAATCGAGTTTTGTACCCCACATGTGCCCCGTGTCTCGACATCAGCAACGCGTTGTCTCGTTGATGATGCGCAAAAATTTTTTTACAAAATTATAGCAAGATAAAATAAATAGAACTTTCAAAAATATTAAGAAAAGTTCTATTATTTCATCTTGATATTAGTATTTCGACGGGCTTTAAGAGAAAAACGGGCAAAAATTTGAACCCTTAGAAAACTAATGTTCTGGTGTCACTATCATTACTTTATTTGGGATGTTAGTGGGAGAAATCGTTTTTCTTCGTTTATACGCTCTTTAGATTTATATGGTAGTCAATCTGATTACTGCCAATCTTATTTTTTGTCACTGTAACATTCTATCCAGTTCCACATAAATCACTACTCAAAATTTCACCTGTCAAAATTTCATCTTTGACCAGCCCTCTCCTAGAAAGTGCTCTTCGCCCTAAAGCATCGATCATTGATTATGGCCACAATGTTTGCTCAGTTGTATGCACATAACAATGTGTTCGTCTTCGAAAATCCTGTTTAAATGAAGTACTGTACTCAGCTCCCACTAAAAATGCAGTGCATACGCTATGGGTTCATCTTATATGGTGAATGATACTTCTAATTTTTGTACATTTTTGTTGATTGGCAATAGAAGCGGCAAGAGCACTGGCATGACTCAGCTGACTTGCCTTAAAGACAATACGTTTGCTCTTTAGTAACAGTTCATGTTTTGATCAACTTGAACAACTTTCTCAGTTTATACATCGCACGACAAGCTGGTACAATCAAGGAACAGCATGGAAATGAGGGTAGCGTTTCTCGCTGCCTTTGCAGCCTTTTGTGTCTTTTCTTCCGCAGGTGATGTACTTTCATTTGTAATTATAGTATATGCTGAATGAAATAATCAAACTTTGGATATAAGACCTAACCTTGCCTTTCTGTCAGTTTTAAAACCTTTCCTTCCCCATATAAGTACCAAGATAGCTACAGTTTTTGCAATTTAAGACCATGCATGGCATAAAAACCCTATGTAAAATGATACTGCATAACTTTCAAGTAAGCTTAAAAAAAATATAAACGAAAATATACTAGACATAACATCGAAACTCTGAAGGTGCCTATGTACTTTTGAAAGTCAGATTTTAAAAATGTTTGATTAAGGCACTATAGTAAGTTGATTAACAGTGTCTTATCAACCAAATTTTTATTTAAACAACCAGATGCTAAAAGGTACAAGATGGTGGCGTATTGGGGACAAAATGGTGTTTATGGAATCCACAAAGAAAGAGAACGATGGGAAAAGGAACTTGATTACTTTTGCAAGAGCCATAGCTATGATGTAGTTGTGCTGGCCTTCAATCATATCTTCTTCGACAGAAGAAACAAAGGTGCATTTAAAGCAATATTTGATGAATCGATTAAGTGATTTCATAGGGCTGGTTGGACTAACGTTTGTGATATAGGATAATATACACACTCTAATGGTCAAGTGCGATACATAACCAAGGAAATTGGTAAAGAGCAAACGTTATTCATATACATGTTACGTCATTAACTGAAGCATACTTTTTGTCACCTAGATTTTATTTGAAACTGACAGTTCAGAATTTTCCTCTCGGTTGGTTTACGTTTTTTCTTCTTCTAGATAACATGCCAGGTTTGAATTTTGCATTTCATTGTGAAGACCCAGTCAGTCCTGAATACCCGTCTCTTTTGCGGTGCCCCCTAATCGAAGCTGGAATTTCTGAATGCCAAAGGAGAGGAAAGCAAGTTTTGTTGTCAATGGGTGGAGCCAGTGGCAGCTATGGATTCGCCAGTGATAGCAAAGCCAAGGAATATGCTCATACGATCTGGCATCTTTTTCTTGGAGGTAACAACAAACAAAGCCTAAGGCCTTTTGGAAGGTACAGTCTGCTCTTCGCTTTGCCCCCCCCCCTCCTCCTTCCTCAATGCACATTATTCGATGATTCAGGGATGGTTTTTAAATATTCTTCACATTTAATAGGCTGCAGCTCATATTACTTATTATCCTGAATAAAGGCCGTGAAATCATCTTTCCAAAAAATAGAAGATGCGGTTTAAGTTTCAGAAAATACGGCTAAAATTACTTTTTGCTCAATTTGATGTACGTAAACAAAATTCAAGGCCAAAAAGCAAAGAAATCTGTCGTTAAACTATAGAATTTTGCTGTCTCGCAGGGCTGTTCTTGATGGTGTTGACCTGGACATTGAGGGAGGACTCTCCACAGGCTATACGGCCTTTGTAAAGGAAATACGAAAGCTAATGAACACAGATTCTTCTCGAAAATACATAATTGGTGCTGCACCCCAGTGTCCTTTCCCTGATGGATTTCTGGGGCCACGTCCAGGTAAGGCGCTGGGAGATGTTGGATATGAATTTGATGAAGTTTACGTTCAGTTCTACAACAATTGGTGTCATACTGGGAATCAGAGAGTTTTCTATGAAAATGTGGCAAAATGGCTTAAATTTTCAATGGATAGTAAGCCAAGTGGACCGATGATATTTGTTGGAATGCCTGCTAAAGTTGGTGGCTCAGGCAATGCTGCAAATTACAGACCATTGAAAGAAGTTTCTGATATATTCAATGTAAGTGCTATCCGGTTGCAAAATATCTTCGTGCTCGTTGTCTCCTTATCCAAATGTCTCTTTCCAGCTAAAACCCGTTTTGCCCAATGGTTTTAAATGTTACCTACGTACCATGAAAAACGAAGGATTCCTATCCATGCAGTAACAAATGATTTTCTTTGTAGAGGTTGAAGGACGAGCCACGGTTTGGGGGATTCATGCTTTGGGATGCTGGATTTGATCAAAACAACATCATCAATGGGAAACCGTACAGTCAGAACATCGTCGAAATCATGAACAGTGGCGTCGTGCCCCCGAATCCAACTGGCTCCCCTCAGACACTGCCCCCTGATACTCCAGGACCTGGACCAGTAACGACTGATTCTGTACCTGTCACACAGCCGCCACCTGTACCACCTACTAAACCTTGTAAGTGATAAAAGGGAACAAAACTGTCAACATTTTGAGTCCCTTTATCCAACCTATATCAAAAACCTTGTTTTGTTCTATTATTTAGTTTCTAAAGTGAGTCAATTCTCTAACTTTTTTTACCCAATTTAAGTGAATTGGAATACCGACTTAGATTTTTTGTCAACTCTCAAATTTTCTTATTCACAAATTCTTAAGGTTAGGAAGGGGTTTGAAATGTCCCAACCCCGGGAGTAAAAATTCTAATTTTGGTAGATCTTCTGTGTTAATTTTTTTAAACAGAAGTATCTCCATGAACATTCTGGACTAAAGATTTACACAAATTTTTAGGTAGCAATCACCAATCATAAAGCTGTTATAAATTTTTCCTCGACCACCTTTCTTGCCCTTTTTCTTTTTTCTATACGGCGATCTACCGCGTGTTCCTTTTGTAGTTCATCTTATACGTCTTATTCTAGCCTCGGTTTCCTGCACTAATTTGCAAGATGGCCACTACGCTCATCCCACAGATTGTTCCAAGTTCTTTATTTGTCATGGGGGCATTGCCCATCTACGAAGCTGCCCTGGAGGCCTGAAGTGGAACGACGTACGCAAGTATTGTGATTGGCCAGCAAATGTTAACTGCAGTTAATCGTTCGTGTAGATGACAATTTTTTATTGCCATTGAATAAATTGCAACGAGAGATTGTAGAAGTAGTTACATTTTGTTCCGACTTATCTTGACGCTCACTTTCCGAATTTGTGGAGATTTGAAGATTGGCTCCCTTCCTAGAATTTATACCGAAAAGGTTTCTCTTTTCATCATATTGCGGACGTGGTTACGCCACAATAGCAAACCTAAATAGAAAATTACAGCATATGAATCGCAAGCTACAGCGATTTTTCGTTTTTTTCGACAGCCCCATCTGAAATCAGAACAATAACTCCCAAGCTATTTTGTATGCATTGAAGGCATTCGACACAGATTAAAGTGGCTTATAGCAACTTGATCCTCATGTGTTGACCAATTGATTTACGCCCAGAGAAAACATATGAAAAATTTCCGCCTTTCTGCCAATCGGCGAGACGCTAGGGTGGTTTAACGTGAGTAGTTTCAAATTCCTTTCAAACGCGCGTGCTCTGATCGAGTTTATTTTTGGATTCGCTGTACTTATGGATGTCAAATGCCTTTAAAACTTGCAACTGTCAGTGCTCACTTCATATGGTGACCCGTTAGCAGTTTAAAACCGTTGTTGAAAATATGTGAAATCTGTGTTGAAAATTGACCAGAAAGGCAAGGGCCCGGTTGTGATCAGGTGCGAATTGTTTGCGGTACTAGTTGACAGGAGCCTTTCAGCTGCGTTCAGAAGACCAGATTTATCGAATTTGTTTTATCTTTTGCTTTAGGTTTATTTAGATATACAATAAGCGTTTCTCCGCATCAGTGATTCACGAGGCTGAATTTGAACAGGTTTTTTATTTGAAAATCCGTATTAATCAGCGATTTGATAAATTTGAAAATCTGATCTTAATAGCGCGACTGCTATGATTTTTTCTGTGAAAAATTGTTTGGCGGCACAAAATTTTAAAGTTTTTGAAGCCATTTTCAGACCTTTTTCTCTTAGTCGAAAATATCAAAGGGTATCAGAGTGCTCGCTGCAAAATAATCTTAAATGTGATGGCAATACAGAGCTGGCTAGTCGCAAATAAAGAAATTAAAGTTACCTGCAACGAAAGCCAGTTTATCATGGTTTTAGAAAACCACTCTATGGAGTTTTGTCAAGTGTCTGATGATAATAGCCAATTCCAAAGGATTTTGTCATCCAGAGATGTCTAAAGATTCCAAATGTAGCGAAATTCCCGAATTTTTTGACAATATTGGTGTTCGAGGAATGGGGTATCCTACCTGCACCAGGCGACTGTACTACTGCAATTTACATTTTCCATTTGATTGACATTTTTAAGAACCCACTGCTACTGGTTTAGAAGGATGAAAGTGTATCATTACGGAATGGGGTACTAATAAACTAAAAACTGGAGCAGGCGCTTGTGGATTGTACTGTAAATGATAGGTGTAAATGACAGCAATTTATGTAACCACTCTCTACTTGGCAAAGGTGAGATACAATGTTATTGGACCCTGGAAAGACAATTTCCTCATAAACAGAACATAAATAATCTTTTGTAGGGATGCATTGTAGTCAAATTTGACAGTTGAATACCCAAAGAAATGTGACCTTGAAATGTTTATTCTGCGGCTGACAGTGTTGCAGAACTGGCCATGGATTTTAAACCACGTCTATTCACTAATCTGTTAATGAGCTTTATTTTTGGCTGCATGGTTCATTTATCCAAAGATTTCATTTTGGTTAAGAGAAGTCTTTTATTCTCATGACAATTTGCTTAGAATACTATCCAGCATCCACCAATATGTTATAAACTCCATATTCGTCGAAAGTAACAGATCTTGGGTATATTACGACACAGCAAAGTATGAAAGTGCCCGGGATCACCTGCATGCATGTACGTAGCTTGTAGGCAGCAAGTTACCTACATGCTATGTACAAGCTACAAAAAAATACGTAAAAGCTACGTAAAACTAAGTACAAGATTCCTACATGCTACGTACAAGCTACGTACAACTACATGCAAGATACCTACATGCTACGTACAACTACGTACAAGATCCCTACATGCTATGTACAAGCTACGTACAACTACGTACAAGCTACGTACAACTATGTACAAGATACCTACATGCTACGTACAAGCTACGTACAACTACGTAGAAGCTACCTACATGCTATGTACAAGCTACGTACAACTACGTACAAGCTACGTACAACTATGTACAAGATACCTACATGCTATGTACAAGCTACGTACAACTACGTACAACTATGTACAAGATACCTACATGCTACGTACAAGCTACGTACAACTACGTAGAAGCTACCTACAAGCTACGTGCATGCTACCCACATGCTACGTTCAAGCTACGACCAAATACGTTCAAGGTGCGTACAACTATGCACAACTACGTACAACTACGTACAAACTATGTACATGATATTCACATGCTACGTACAAGCAACAACCAAATACGTACAAGCTACATACAACTACGTACAAGCTACGTTCAACTGCGTACAAGATACCTGCATGGTATGAACAACTACGTAGAAACTACCTACAAGCTACGTGCATGCTACCCACATGCTACGTACAAACTACATACATGCTATAAAACTACGTACAAACTGTGTACATGCTACCCACAGTCTACGTGCAACTACGTATAAGCTACATGATACCTACATGCTACGTTCAAGCTACGACCAAATACGTTCAAGGTGCGTACAACTATGCACAACTACGTACAACTACGTACAAACTTTGTACATGATATTTACATGCTACGTACAAGCAACAACCAAATACGTACAAGCTACATACAACTACGTACAAGCTACGTACAACTACGTACAAGTACCCTACATGCTACGTACAAGCTACGTACAACTACATACAGGATCCCTACATGCTGCGTACAAGCCACATACAACTACGTACAAGCTACGTACAACTACATACAGGATCCCTACATGCTACGTATAAGCTACATACAACTACGTACAAGCTACGTACAACTACGTATGAGCTACGTACAACTACGTACAAGATTACTTCATGCTACGTACAAGCTACGTACAACTACATACAGGATCCCTACATGCTACGTATAAGCTACATACAACTACGTACAAGCTACGTACAACTTGTATGAGCTACGTAGAACTACGTACAAGCTACGTACAACTACGTATGAGCTACGTACAACTACGTACAAGATTACTTCATGCTACGTACAAGCTACGTACAACTACATACAGGATCCCTACATGCTACGTACAAACTACGTACATACTACCCATATGCCACTCACATGCTACGTGCAGCAACTTACAAGGTGCGTAAAAGCTACTAATAACGTACATTCTAAATACATGCTACAGTCCCTGCCAAAAGTCTTGGAACACCGACGTCAGTTTCCAAGGTCAAAATCAATCACCCCCCTCTCCCCCGCGGAACAATGTTGGTTTTCTACGAAACAGCTGAGGATTTTAGGAAGTATTTTCTTTTGCGTTTCTTTTGTGATAATTTTCTAAATTATCAACATTGTTTCGAGGGAAGGGGGTGTAGAAATAGGAGTATCCGGGAAAAGAATTGAAAAAATAAAAACACAAAACGCAAATTGCTTGGTGTTCCAAGTACTTTTGGCCACGATTGTACCTACATGCTACTAACAACTCCGTATTAGCAACGTACATGATACCTACATGCTACGTTCAAGCTACTACCAAATACGTACAAGATGCGTTAAACTACGTACATGCTACCTACATACTATGTAAAAGCTACGAACAACTACGTACAAACTATGTACATGATATTTACATGCTACGTACAAGCAACAACCAAATACGTACAAGATGCGTTAAACTACGTACATGCTACCTACATACTATGTAAAAGCTACGAACAACTACATATGAGCTACCTACGAACTACGTACATGCTACCCACATGCTACGTACAACTTCGTACAAGCTACGTACATGCCACGAACAACTTCTTACAAGCTACGTACATGCTACGAACAACTACGTACAACTACGTACAACTATGTACAAACTATGTACATGATATTTACATGCTACGTACAAGCTACGACCCAATTTGTTCAAGCTACGTACAACTATTTACAACTATGTACAACCACGTACAAGATACCTACTTGCTACGAACATGCTACGTACATGCTACCTACATGTTAGGAACAACTACATACAAGCTACGTACAAGCTCCTTACAAGCTAGGTTCATGCTACGTACAACTATGTACAAGCTAAGTACAAGGTACGTACAAGCTATGTCCAACGTACATGCTACATACATGCTACCTACATACCTATACGCTACAAAGAACCACGTAAAACTACATCAAAGCTACGTACAACCACGTACAAGCAAAGTACAAGCTACATAAACACTTCATACATGATACCTACGGTTTCTTTTTAAGAAGGCATTTTAACTTCCTTTCTTGCTTTTTGTTAAATGCGGTTTACCTCCTCAAAGGCACGCGATTATAGAATTTATCCAAAGGTGGTTTTCATCTGGCACTTCGGTTGTCTATTTTTACTATTTTCTGGAAGGATTATAAAGCCATGGGATCTACTGTGTTCTTGAAGCATTTTTGTCTTACCACGGTCATGTATGCGATTGGTGGACAATTAATTGCTCCTTGATATTTCAGTCAAAAAATGATCAGCTGTTGTGAGCTTGTAATAGAACGAAAACTATTTTCTCTACGTCCACGTGCCCAGTAGCGAATTGGAAGCTGCAAGATAATTCCCTCAACTTAATTTAACGAATACTGTTAATTAGATCACCTCAACTTTTAAAAGCTTGGTTTTAAACAATGTTTGTCTGCAAAGGGCCACCGTGAAAGGCTCCGTATCAAACTGCAATGACGTGATCGTATTCATATACTATGCTAAGTTTGTGATTCTACATTTTATCAAATTTTTTCCCTAAATTTGCATTAATTTGCATCTTCAGTCAGCGAAGGGGAAACTTTTTTCTCCCTTCTTGCCAAATTTGCGATGTTTCTTTTCTGGCAGGGCGTAGAAGGATGTATGGCCCAGACC